TGCCACTAAACGCTGCGAGACCTACCACGATCTTTATAATGAGTAAGTGATGAAAAGACCTCATCTAACACAAAGGGAAAGATCAATATTATAACTACTCTGCAGATATCTTCAAACGCAACTTACATTCATGGATAAGTGTGACATCGTCCAAGGTTGGAAAGACACCGACTTACGAGCAAGGATCGACAAGTTTGTGGCTCATGGCTTCAAGTCAGTACTAGAGCGAGCCTCCGAGGCACGCCCTGACCAGACTCTTATCCATGGCGATTTTGGTAAGCAGCTTACCGTCCAAATTGATTCCTCCTTACTTGAGCCGGTTCCAAGTTTGACAAATGAGCAGACTTGCACAACCTTCTCTTCGATCCCGACACCAATACTATCAGCGGCCTGCTCGACTTCGACTTTAGTCACATCGCGTCTGTTTCGGACGAGTACTTTTACTCGTTTGATACAATTCACGGGCTGGTGGCCCCGTCAAGTCCGGGAGACCCTATGGATCTTCTTCGGCATTGCTTGTTACACGGCTTCGATGTTTCAGAGTCGGAGCGTGAGGTCGCCAATATGGTAGACTGGGATGTTGCTGTACTTAGAGACGAGGCTTTCTCTCTTTATAAGGTGCGACGGCCGGTTGATATGATGCCCGAAATAGAGCTACTATCGGAGCTTTACTGGTTCATCCAGAATATAAGCCCCGGTTTGTTTTTCTTACCTCGCGTTAGGGAAAAAATGACACCAGAAAGGGCAACACGCATGCGGAACCAGATCCAGGAGAGTTTGGGTAGGACTTTGAGTGATTGGGGTTTCTGACTTATCAAATTTCTGGTGATAGCAGAATTCGCACTCGTTATCTATAATTAGTTTCTGGTAGCGTTATTCAATAAGTTCCGTGTACCGCCCTGTAAGGTACTTGTCCCCTTCACAATCACCAACATCAAGTTCAAACGCATCTAGAAGCTACTGCCTACCGATATTCAGTACAATCCTATTTCATAGCAGTCAAAATAGAAGTGTGCCTGCACTGCCGAGAAGCTTCCCTTGAGTCGCACATAGGCTGAAGACACCTCGACCAACCGGATAATAATTCACGTTGAGATCGAAATGGTTGATTTATTTGGCCAATGAGAAAACGGGAGAGGATATTTTGTGGCTAGTTCGCCAAGTTTATATGTAAGTGCGAAGTTTCAGTTGACATAGGTTATAAAGCCCATCCTCCCGGCTCAATCGCCCACACCCGTGCGGAAATATCGCACTCTATTGCTGTTTTGAACGCCATAAATAGCAAAATGAAATACCTAACATCACTTATTCTGATGGCAGCAGCAGCCCAGGCTCACTGTTAGTAGTTTTACATTTGCGCCAAACTTTACTAGATAAGAGCTAAAAAGGTCACGACAGACAAGTTCTGGAAGCTGGTGGTCGATGGCCAACAGGAAGCTAAGGAATGGACATCTATCCGCATGACGAAGAACTATCAGGATGATCACGGAGTGACCAATGTCAATGATGTCGATTTGCGGTGCTTCCAGATGCGGACCGGGACGGGAACTGCCACAGTTGCGGCTGGGGGAACCCTTGGGTTTGTCGCCGATCAAGGTGTGACTCATCCAGGGCCTCTCCAATTCTACATGGCAAGGATACCAGATGGAAAGGACATCAATACCTGGGAAGCTACCGGTAACGTTTGGTTCAAAGCTGCCAGTATTGATGGAATTCCGAATGGGTCAGGATTTACTTGGCCGGCGCAAAGTATGTGACTTCCTCACTGTGAAATTCCCTACGCAATTGCTGAAGTGTTTCCAATTGTGTTGAGACTGACGGATGGCAACAATATAGACCAAAAGGTAGTCAGCTTTACCGTACCCAAAACTATACCCAGCGGCAAATATCTCGTCCGTGTTGAGAGCATTGCTCTACATCAAGCTCAATCTCCTGGTGGAGCGCAGTTTTATCTTTCGTGTGCCCAAGTTGAAATTACTAATGGTGGGAATGGCACGCCTGGTCCGATGGTGGCTTTTCCCGGGGCATATAAAGCGACGGATGCGGGCTTGATCTTTAGTTGGCAGACCAAGACTTATACTGCGCCAGGACCTGCAGTGTGGCAGGGCTAAATAACTTAACGCCGAAGATATTTTCGGAGCGCAATGTACTCATATCCAGCCGTAATCAAATAGCGTTTACTAATTTGCTTTGCTTAGATATCGTATTTTGAACAAGATAACAATTTCTTTTGTGAATATATAATTGACAAATAATATCCTGAGGTGGAATTTGTTGCTAGGTAATCGAGTGTGTCCCGAGTGTAGAAACACTTGAATGTAGACTTAGCTCATGTTCTGCAGTGTCGCTGTCTACAATTGTTCTCAAAGAAATTTACAGACAATGGGGATTGCTCTAATTTGGTCCGCGTCACTTTCTTTGTTCGGGACTGATCGAAGTGGCCGCACCTCCTTGTTAAATGTGACAATGCCATTGCAATTGTTGCACAACGGGGGCTCTACTATCCTTTTTCTCAAGTATAAAGGTTGACAAATTAGCTTCGCCTAGGTCTTCGATGTGTTGTACCAAACTACTTCATTCTTCTGGAGTCCACCTTGGATATCCTCTTCAAACCTTCGTCTAGCAGCTTGTTACCGAATCACTCGCCATCATCAAGATAGCAATGCCGACTCATGGTAAGAGACTCCTTGGCAGGCGCGAGTATGACGAGCTAACCTCGGGACTTATCTTTGCTTCGGAACTTCTAACACGGTTCGAGAACCGCCTCAACATCCCATCACGCCAGAGAATGACACTCGATCATCTTGATCATTGCTATCAGTCTCATGATTATCGTTTCCTTCTCAAAAATATTGGGCTCGATGTTCAGCTCCTTGCTGGTAGACTTGAGTTTGTCTATGAGGCGCTTGCTTCATTTACTGACTCATCTAATGAGAATCAATTGTCTGCCCAAACACTTGTGCGCCATTTTACAGGTGAGAGCTTTGGTGATCTCAGGGTAGCTGATAGTTCACCGCAAAGTGCAAACAGCTATTGCGTGAACCGAGATCTAGATCGCATCAAAGCTTCATTAGCAGCTTACGTACACGAAGAGTCCGAAGATCTACATATTGCCGTGAGCACCGGGAAATCACAGGAGAGCTCGTCATTCAGAAGCGATGTCTCTCCGCTCCCGAAAATACAACAACTGCAGTCATTAATACCGCAAAATATGATTGAGACGCATGAAAGAGTTCAAGAAGGGCACCAGATGGATTACGACAAATTGCCCGACACGTTTGCTACATTTGAGAGGAAAGGCCTACCTCCAAAAATCCATGAACCAATGCCAGTGCCCCCGATGGCAGAGCAAACACCGGCTTGGATTGACGACGAGAATTTCAGTATTCCAATTGATCAAGTTGAAGCTGATAGAATTCAGTCTCCATCTCTCAATGACAAAAATACGCAAGTGCCACTGGAGCCTAAGTCAAAGTCCAGTTATGCGGACTACGAATGCTACTAGGTACACTTCTAGCATGAATAGAGTTGAGAAACTTTACTGGGTCCCGGGGATCCAATAGAATTACCTCATGTGCAACTGAATGTTTTCTATTTCCATAGACCTTGAGTTCTTGACATGATCGGGCTACATGATAGCGCTTCATAGTATCACGACTTGTAATTCATTCATCTACGGTCTAAAGTTGAAAAGATACCTGTAAGTCTGTGATTTTCGCGCAAGGAACATGTATAAAAGATTATCAACAAGCAAGCGCTTTGTCGATGTAGGACTTGCTTCTTTTGTGCATTGGCGCCGCGTAGGCGTCTTATTGCGAGATAATGACATCTTGGCATTCATTGAGTGATGGGTGGTTTGAGTATCACGGCAGTCTTCAAGACGATTGCGGGTGTTCCCGCCGTGCGTCGCTGTACAGTCCTTTGGCCAGCCTCGAGCTATATAACCTTCCCAATTGGGGTGACCTGCCTATTGCAGGTAAATGAATTAGCAGTTGTGGCGGTAGTGGAGAATTACGTGATGCTGGCTCAGACTGACGAACTGGGTCTACATGCAAGAAAGACCTGCATGCTTCACTGGTAGTGGTGGACGATTTGCCGATCCCTCCATTCGTCATCCGATCCTGCACAAGGACTGGTCATTCTTTTCACTCAAAAATACGTTCAAGTCGAATTCTGTCTGATATGGACTTTAACTGTTGTTGGGGTAGGAAGCCTTATTGGCCATCGCCTCAGACGTTCCCTCGTCTGAATATTCGCGTACCGTAACACATGATAGACACCCTAATACCCCACAAGAAGAGACTATCACGACTGATTGTCCTTCATTTAGCCTTCATATGCCGATCAAGATCTCCATAGTACAGCGCTGTCGGTATTGAGGTCGGGCGGCTGAACAACGTAAAGCGCCTCTGTACGCCTGTAAAGCTTATTTAAACGACTGTTTCGACCAAGCTCACTTGGCTCAGCACTCATTGTTGCTTTGGGATGCTTGGCAACCCGCCATTCTGTATTCAGATAGCGCCACAATATGCTTCTATGGCTCTTCCTGCACGCAACCATGCTGACTGATACTGACTCGACAAAGCGACAACCACCCCTCCTCTATCTCTCTCACGAGAGAGTAAGAGCTTGAAGTTCTGCTTCGCATAGAAACCTAATGCCCGTTCACATGCCTTATAACTGGGCCAACTGAGGCACATTCGTGAATGCAACCTTCCAGAATAGTAGTGTGGCCCCGATGACTCTATAAGGAGTATGAAATGGCGACTATGTCGTCGACTATTCGCAATAACTTCAAAGACGAGGTTGAGAATGGCAAATGCTAGAATTGAATAATCTAGCAACATAGATCAATCGTAGAAGGCCAAGTATAAAGGCTTCTTCATCTCCCAGTGGATTATCTACTCTATCTGTATTCTAGGATATCAAGATCTAGTTCTCTACTATATAGCTATTAGCTACTCCTACAGCCCGTCTCCTCAGACTACCACACAGCCACCATGAAGTTCACTGCTATCACCAGCGCTCTGCTCTATACAAGCGTTGTCTTTGGCGCTCGGTTCACAGAAGAACGCCGTGCCCGCTGGGCGAAGCGCGAGTCTGTTGCTGTTACTGCTCGTAGCGGCTCTAGCCTGCCTCGCTTCCCCGTCATCAACTCTCCGGGAACAGATGAGCTTGAGACGGTCAACAACACCAACGAGGAGTACAGCTCGAACTGGGCTGGTGCTGTGCTCATCGGCTCTGGCTACAAGTCCGTCACGGGCACCTTTGTCGTGCCTACACCCAAAGCCCCCACAGGTGGCAGCAGCAGCACTGAATATGCTGCGTCTGCGTGGGTTGGTATTGATGGCGATACTGCCCAGAACTCCATTCTTCAGACTGGCGTCGACTTCTATGTTCAGAACGGCCGTGTGTCGTATGATGCCTGGTACGAGTGGTACCCCGACTATGCCTACACCTTCAGCGGCTTTGGCATCTCCGCTGGCGACACCATCCGCACCACGTAAGTAGCTATAATTTCAGACCCCTTGAATTTACCAAGTTAGGGCAACGAGCTGACACCAATCAAACCTTTAGCGTCACTGCCACCAGCACGACCGCCGGCACAGCTGTCGTCGAAAACCTGACCACCGGCAAGAAGGTGACACATTCTTTCTCCGGCCAGTCTCGCGCCCTGCAGGAGCTCAACGCCGAATGGATTGTTGAGGACTTCTCGTCGGGTGGTTCCCTGGTTCCCTTTGCCAACTTCGGCACTGTCACTTTCACCAGCAATACTGCGACGACCGCTAGCGGCAGTGTCGGACCTCAGGGTGCTACTATCATTGATATCAAGCAGAACAACAAGGTCCTCACCTCGTCTTCTGTTTCTGGATCCAATGTCATCGTCCAGTACATTGGTTAAATTATCGACATGGGACGCCCGACTTTCCTCTGGTTACGCTTGTGGCTTGCTAGAAGAAATCAATGATAAGGCTGCAATCGTGGCACGAGGGGATGTTGGGGAGAGCTAGATTAGAGAAGTAACTTAGAAGCGTGTATTATTCTTACCAGGCCGGGTGAGTAGGTAGAGTAGCAGTCCCGTGATATAGGCGCCTGCATACTGGCTTATATTGACAATATTATGACTGGCAAGAGCTGGTTCTTTCTGATGACTGTCTCCCATCTGATTTATTCCCATAGATATACTCTGAATTCTGGTCGTTGTTAATCAGTGGCTGTGCCAGTAAAAGGCTTTTAGTCTTGATCCCTCTATCGCTTCCAAACAACAACAACAACAACAACAACAATAAGGAAGGAAGAGACGACAGCATCGTATACAACAAATGTAAAATTAAGAAACCTCAAAGCCTAGATCCTTCGAGGCTGTAGAAATCTTTGCGCACGCTGAATTGGCGATTTTCTTGTTATGTACTCGTGGCACGTAGTCATAGCGTGGGAAAGGGGCGTGGAGGCATTCGCTCTTGAGCCGACCCGACAAATAATTAGTAGATTGGGGAGCAACTGTTCGTGTAAGAATGGGCTAATCCTCTAGGAACAGGAGACTTCTCAATATATTGGCAAGACTGAGTGAGCTGCGTGAATATTTATGTGTTTCAGGAAGCCCGAACAGAGAGAAGCTTGGATGTTAGTGGAGATAGAGTATTCAGCTTAAAATTGTAGAGGTCCGCTAAGGTGGCCTAACCCAAACTTTCATTGATTGGATTACTCTAATTAAACACACGCTCGCGATATTTCGGATTTGGCCCTGATACTTGTATTCATCTAATTGATCAGTGGCTATCTACCCTAATTCCTACCTTCTCACGAATTCATTCACCAATGTCGATGCGACGATGAGAGCGGTCCTGGAGGAAGATAAAGCTAACTAAAAGGTTGTCTAGCGTGTAAGTGCGCTGGCCTTGGCCCAAAGCCAGCAAATGATTGGCCTGTGCCATCTCACCACATAAATACGATCAACCTACCCCTGTCAATCAGGCAACAACAGCTCCCCCGCTTCTATCAAATGCAAAACCTTGGTCACCTTGAGATTTGGATGAAATTACGACTGTGATACTCTAGGCTGTAGAGAATGCAAGAACTATAGTACCAAACAAGCAACAGTGACGGCTCCGATGATTTTCTCAACGTGGTCTCTTCTCTTTTCTCTCGGCTCGGCCTGGCTTCTCAACATCCCGCGGATCGACTTGATATGGCCACCAGTACAAGCGGAGCGAGAAATTCCCATCACGAACTCGAACGAAGCGGCAGACTCTACATATCCCTGTGCACATGTGCCAATCCCCGACAATGTTGAGCGAATCGATTTCCCTATTATAGGTGGGCAACTTCAATTCAACTTCTCAACACCCAGTCCAGGCCAACGCAATGGGCGCGAGCTCGGCTGGGGCATGTCCTACGCCCTCGGCCAGTTCAACGGCAACCAAACTGTTGGCCAGGATAATTGGTTCATGATTCGGTATAAGTACTGGAACGCGACCAACTTTAACGCGAACATTGGCATTTACTGCACGCCTGAGTTTGACGACCTGGGAAACTACGCAATAAACCTTACAAAGGAGGCGTATGAGTCTCCGCTGGAACGAACCCTGCCCGAAGACGTCGACCTGGAAGGCATGAATGCTACCCTTGCTGTGGAGCTTTTCAGGTTGAACAATGCGGACCTTGACGCCGGCATGGACCAGGTAGGTTGTTTGTGAACTTTACAAATAGCTTGGCTAACATTGTCCAATCGATGTGTAGTGTGTATATGTGCGTTTGACAAGTAATCCCAGATCCTGGGGTGCATGTGCCGAGTCTGACTTGGTCTCACCTACCGTGATTCCCACCCCCACGAGTTCAGGTTTTGGCGGCGGAGGTATCATGCCTCCGACTTTTACGCCAACTCCGAGCCATCCGACGGGAGCCCCGACTCACAGTCGTCGCAACTCTTCGCTTGTCATCGGAGCCAGTGTGGGTGCAGTCGCCGGCGCGGCTCTTATTGCTTTGATAGTCGGATTTCTTATTGTTAGAAGAAGACAACAAACACGCCAACTGAAGAATCCAGTTCCTATGCCGCCAGACAGTGAAGACAAGGATCTCAAGAAAATGAAGAACGGCGGCAAATGGAAAAGCAAGGAGGTTGATGCTGGAATGGATGGGAATGAGCAGAGATTAGCAAAGGAGAGAGAGTCTGACAAGGGCAAAGATGCTAAAGATGCTAAAGATGCTGATTCTGTCAGCGGGGAAAGTAGCAGCGCATCGGTTCACTCTGAGGTTCCGCCTAGCTATGCCGATGCCGTCATGTCCGAGATCAAACTTTAAATCATGGTGAATCCCCGTCATCCAGCACCTGTATCTAAATAAATAGAGCCGTAAACCAGGTAGATGATTCAAATAAAAAAACATCATCATTCATGCTAGGTCACGGAAATGGGAGGTAACAGGCAACTCCTCAGGTCGTCTTTCAAGCATGATAAACCACAACTTTTGAAATAGAGTCCTGGCATACTCTAGCAACTTGCTATAGTCACGTAGACAGCGAGGGGTGTCATCTCAACTCATTGGTATCCCAAGATTACGTCATGGCAAACTGTGTTCACCCCACAAGGTACTGCTTTTGCCCCTTTTGGCGAAGCCGAAACCCTTTCCAACGGTTGGGCGGATGGAAATGCCACGGGATTTAATCTAGTATCCGTCGTTTACTCTCGGGCAATTTGAAATGTATGGTGGGTTCCACTGCAGAGCCAGATGTGTATTGGATAAGTCGGAATGCATGTTGGACGTTCTTGATATCCTCGAATTAAAGCGAAAGGATTGTTGATTCGTCCATGATATCAAATGTACCGAAGAGGCATGCCGGAGAGGAGGTTGCTCAGCCATTGAAATGCGTTCCCCTCCCTACTGCACCACTCCTCGAGGGAGGTAAAGGATGAAACGAGCCACCAAGCTTGCAATCCCGGCGTCGTCGGATCGAAGGAGAACTGACCGGGTGCGAACCCCCGCACTTGGACCGTGTACCGCGGCGTCTGGGGTGCATTAGCACGAAACGCACTGAACTGGGGGTGTAGAGATCGAGATCTTCACTGGCCCGGGAACTGGCCGGACTTGGAGACAGGGGTGGGGTGGTCAGCATATTTGATGCAGAGCCTCCGCATCTTCGATGTTGGAGAACGCGTACTCCACTGCAGGACAAGCCAATATCATAACACGTTCTTCTCGGTAGTTCACGTTGAGTTTTCTGAGCAGCCAACTTCGCTGGTCCTCGTGCCAATCATCCATCAATCACAATCATGACCCCGCATCAATTGCTTTGCTTCGCGAGGCGCAGCATGTCTCGTCATGGCTGGCGACGTCAACCTGCATCGAACATTGAGCGGGTATTGTACCATCGGGTGTAATACTGAGAAGCGCGAAATGTAGCTTCACGCATATCCGCCATCAGTTGGCTCCAATGCCTCGAGTTTGAGATGGTTGAATGCCTCAACCTTTGGCATGATGAGCTGAACCAGATGACTAATACTGTGCACTCGATTGAATGGTTGAGAACAGATTATAATCAATTGCTAACGTTGTATGTTCATCTCAGTGCTGACCACCTGAGAGGAGGACTGCCGCAACCTTTGATAGCCTGAAACTCCGCACATGGTCCTTGGCATGGCTTCCTGGACAAGAGCTTCCCCTCCCACCAGGCAACCTTTATGCACAAGATCGCCCGTATCTCCTACATCAACGAACGCAGGATTGAGGAGCAGTGTTTGGATCAATTCAGATGACCTTCAGGATGCAGGTGCCATTGGTGCCCGCAACTTCCGGGAGAGGGGCTTGCAGTTATGGATGGTGTTGATAATCCCTGACTGATTGAGCGAGCAACTACTATTAAGCTCAACGGAGTAGACTCGGTATTTGAGATGAAAGTGTGAGTATTTCGAAGGGTTTGATGAGCCCAGTGGCCTACTTAAGGAGGCCCTGCTGAGAAGCCAACCCTGTGGGGTAGCATCCAAATCAACAATCAACAATCTTGGTCTACTTTCATATATCAGCTCTGGACAGAGATATCAAGATGGGAGATAACCCAAGCGGTACACAGTACTCCTCCAATCAAAGCACACTGCCAGATGAGTTCGATATCATCGTGTGTGGTGGCGGAAGCTGCGGGTGTGTTGTGGCTGGAAGGTAGGAATATCTTCACTGCTTTTGGAACGACATTTGTGCTCAAAGTCGTAGATTGGCCAACCTTGACCATAATCTAAAGGTCCTGTTGATTGAGGCTGGTGAAAATAATCTCAATAACCCATGGGTCTTCCGACCTGGCATCTACCCGCGGAATATGAAGCTGGACTCCAAGACTGCATCCTTTTATGAGTCTCGACCTTCCAAGTGGCTGGCTGGGCGAAAGGCAGTCGTTCCATGCGCTCATGTTCTCGGCGGTGGCTCTTCAATCAACTTTATGATGTACACGCGGGCATCTGCATCCGACTATGACGACTTCCAGGCAAAAGGCTGGACCACCAAGGAGCTGCTGCCATTGATGCAGAAGCATGAGACCTACCAGCGAGCTTGTCATAATAAAGATATCCACGGCTTCGAAGGACCAATTAAAGTATCATTTGGCAACTACACGTATCCTATCAAGGAAGACTTCCTTAGGGCCACGGAGTCTCAGGGTATTCCAACAGTTGATGATCTTCAAGATCTGGTCACTGGCCACGGCGCTGAGCATTGGCTCAAGTGGATTAATCGAGATACCGGGCGTCGAAGCGATAGCGCTCATGCCTATATTCACTCTACTCGGTCTAATTACGATAACCTTTATCTGGCCTGCAACACCAAGGTCGACAAGGTAATCATCGAGGACGGCCGAGCCGTTGGAGTTCAGACAGTGCCAACAAAGCCATTGCATCCCAGCCAGCTAAAGACACGGACTTTCAGAGCACGCAAGCAGATTGTTATTTCCGGCGGAACTCTTTCGTCGCCCCTCATTCTCCAGCGCTCTGGAATTGGTGACCCGAAGAAGCTGGAGGCCGTAGGAGTAAAGCCAATTGTGGACCTCCCAGGAGTTGGACTGAACTTCCAAGACCACTACCTAACATTCTCAGTTTATCGTGCTAAGCCTGAGACTGAGAGCTTTGACGAGTTCGTTCGCGGCAACCCTGAGGTTCAGAAGAGTAAGCTTACACTCGTTTGCTCGACTTGACGTTGTGAGTAGATGCTGACATCTAGATAGGGGTGTTTGATGAATGGAACTTGAAAGGAACGGGGCCACTCGCCACTAACGGTATTGATGCTGGCGTCAAGGTCCGCCCAACTGAAGCAGAATTGAAAGAGTTCGAATCTTGGCCTACGCCCCACTTCAAAGATGGCTGGAAGTCATATTTCGAGAAGAAGCCTGACAAGCCGGTGATGCATTACAGTGTCATTGCTGGCTGGTTCGGTGACCATATGCTTATGTAAGTGATATATGTAATCCTTCACTTTATCATTCTCATGAGGAATCAGGCCACCTGGAAACTTCTTTACCATGTTCCACTTCCTGGAGTATCCCTTCTCCCGAGGCAGTACTCACATCAAGAGTGCTGACCCGTATGACCTACCTGACTTTGATGCGGGATTTATGAATGATGAGCGTGACATGGTTCCGATGGTCTGGGGTTATATCAAGTCTCGTGAGACTGCCCGCCGCATGGATGCTTACGCTGGTGAAGTTGAAACTATGGTAAGCCTATGCAATCGTCAACCCATGGGACCTATAACACTAACTCAAAATAGCATCCCTTCTTTGATTATGACTCGCCTGCTCGTGCTCATGATATGGATTTGGCCACTACCAAGGCTTATGCTCTTCCAGGCAATCTTACCGCTGGTATCACTCACGGTAGCTGGTCGACATATCTGCCTGAGGCGGACAAGAAGGCGGCCGTGAATATTCTCAACTCCAACAAGCATGATGTCCGTGACGAGCTGAAGTACAGCGAGTCTGATATTAAGGCAGTTGAAGAGTGGGTCAAGAGACACGTCGAAAGCACCTGGCACAGTCTAGGCACTTGTTCAATGGCGCCTAAAGAGGGCAATAGCATTGTCAAGCACGGTGTACTCGATGAACGCCTCAATGTCCATGGAGTAAAGGGTCTGAAGGTTGCGGATCTCAGTATCTGCCCCGATAATGTTGGTTGCAACACGTAAGTCGACTCATCTTTGGTAACATTCACTGCCATCTAACCTTTCTTTAGCTACTCGACTGCTTTGCTCATTGGCGAGAAGGCTGCTGTCCTGGTAGCCGAAGATCTGGGCTACTCTGGTGATGATTTGAAGATGAAGGTCCCCAGCTATAACGCCCCAGGAGAGGTTGCTTTGCCTTATCGCGTCTAAAGGCACCGTAGAGTACGTCGTGAGAACCGCGGTAGTCTAGTGATGGTTGCCAGATTGACACTTTAGAAAGTATAAGGTAGTACTCAGATTGAAAATTCATATTGTGTTACACCTGTGTGTCGTGAGCCAGAAACTGGCTTCTGTGTTGCAAATAATATGACCCAAGAGTCGCCTTTATGTCAAATCCAATTCTGACTTCTCTTCTGCCTTCCAACCAGAGAGCTCCTATAGCTTCCTCTCTTGGCAGTGCCTAGACCTTCCCTCACCAGACCAATCAGGAATTGTACCCCCATTGCCACACCATCCACCACCATCACCTCCCTTTCGGCCATGTTAACAGTCTGTTGGCACACCTCTTGCATTTCCGTCATACCCGCACATCCCAAGCAAATACAGTCTGCACCCTTTTCAACCAGCCTTTTCGCCGCTGCCACTAGCCCGGCGTACACCACCTCCTTCGGCTTCGTTTCAAGTTCTAGTACACTGACATCGCTCGCCTCACAGCCGGCGCTGAATGCGCCGAGACCATATGATAGGGCAATTGAATCTGTATGCAGGAACTTCGAGCGCTGACCGGTGGTGATGATGCCGAGCTTGTCGCCACACATGCGGCTGGCATACAGCGCGGCTTCCATAATCCCAATGGTTGGGACGGTGAACTCTTCACGTAACATGGGAATCAAGGGGTGAGCGCTGAAGCACGCGACGAGGCAGGCGTCAAACTTTCCCATGTTCAATAAGGGAACTAGTGCCCGGAAGCAGTCCGCCGCCGAGAGGACGGCATCAGCACGGCCCTCAATAGCGGAGGGCCCGGTTGGTGGCGCAGTAAATCCATGCACGGTGACATGAGGCGGTAGTGTGTCTTCAATACTTCTCAGGCATCCGGCTGTCATTGACGGAGTACAATTAGGGTTGATAAGCAATATAGATATCGGCCGGGTGGAGCTCCCGGTGACTGAGATAAGGGATGCTGTCGGATCGGCCATCTTTTCCGGTATATGTCTTCCGATCTGAACCGGATCGACGGACTCCTGCCAAATGCTATAATGGGTTGGGAAATTCTAGGATGTGTGGAAGGCCTTGTATAACACGATTAAGCCTGACACTGCAGCATTGATATCAGGTGCATGTTGCCGAGTGTCGGCATACGGAGAGCGCCGGGGTTTCGGCATGCTAGCTTTCTTATAAGTGGCCGACCTAATTGTCGGGGAAGCTGGCCGTTGGCCGTTGGCCGACACAGGACGCGGCATTGGAACATAATGCGCAAAGCACTTCGGCATCATTTGTAAAGGAATGATCAAATACAATCGCCCGTAATATCCTTCAGCTTCTCATTGACTTCTCGTTTCAAGCCCTATTGGGAGCCTACGCGATCGTGGCTCGTTTCAAAGCGCGACCGTCAATTTCCCATCAAAGCCATCTTTTGTCATATCTACAGTGGACTATCACCTGCAACAATGAACTAGGAATAGATGTTCAGCCCCGGTGCTTTGTTCAAGTTCAATTAATACTCGCTCAGTGGTATCTTATAGCGGCCTCACCGACGAGAGCCGCAGCAAATAACGCAAAATTTGTCCCAGAAAACTTCAGTACCGCTTCCCGTCATGCCGGTCGTCGGCCTTTCTCATCGGTCGCACTCTATAGTAAGCACCGCCTAACTTAACGAGGAAGTAATCCCAGAGCTCACGCAGGTCGTGACCCATCCCATCAGAAGGCATATTTGCGATGCTGTATCCGGGTAACCCGTGTTAGGCAATTGTTATCGTCACGTACGTCGCTCGTCGAAGTCGTCTTCGATTGAGGGTCGCTGGTACGATAAATCGGACTCCTACACAATGCAACTTTAGCACTGTACAAGCACACCACGCATCAATTTGCAGATGATGCGACTCACACAGTCAGAGACGAGCAGGCCCTAGTACTCGACTTCGTATGTCAATGGAGCCTATCACGCGTCAATTGACCTAGAATAGAGAGATGCCGGTGGTAGTCAATTAACATACTCGTTGCTGTTTGCTCGAAAGCGACTCTTTTAGAGTGAGAAGCACGGATACAATGATTTGAAAGGCACATCGGCTCGGCGGGCGTCCCGATGCGGCGGGACGGGAGGCGCCGCTTAAGAGCGACCGAAGGGCGAGTGTGTCCAAAACAGGATTATTCAGACAACGTTGTGCTACGTAGACCAAGACTTTTACGGCGCCTAAGATAAGAAGATCATCGCACAAGAGCGTTGATACGGCAGGTATCCTCTAGTAAAGATGTGGTGAAAGGGCGGAGCTAGCTTCTTAAAGGAGATAATGGTGACTCCGACCTTGTCAAGAGGAGCGCTACTCCTTTACGTCACACTGAGGTCGAAGTTTCCTTTCAGGCACCTGCAGTGACCTGCGGGTCGCAGTCAAGTGAAGTCAGAAAGGAGTACGCAATCGCATCCCTCCCTTCACTTTGCCAGTTAGGCTCAGGAGCCGACCAACACTTGAAATTTGATGGCATTTCATTTTGTTTTTGAAGTTGGACGTGTCTCCGAGCATCCTTGGTTGCCATTCTTCCGTCATAACTCCACACAGACTCAGCGATGCCGCTTCGTAGCTTACAGGATGCACTGTGGTGGGGGGCATCGACGTGGCTGGATTGCAACATGAACAGAGCGATGCTTGCTGCCAAATTGCTATGCCGCTGTGCTGCTGTGCCGCGTGCATAGCAATAATTCCAATGCCGATTTCATAGCAACAAATTGCAATGCTTCTACGCGACCGTTTGGGCGCATGGCCAGGTACAAAAAAATACTCTCACAGTCCGGGTAGTCGTTTTTAGGACCCTTATCGCTGATTGCACAACGGCTCTAAATGGCTATACGAATGATACTCAAGTGCGAGTGCATGTTTATGCCGTAGCCGAGAACCCCGTCCACCCGAAGTAGGCAGAGATTCTTCATCTTTACGTTTTCTGCCTTCTCAGCCATCGCATTCCTCGATATACATTAAGGAGTTTTGAATGTGGTTGAGATAATAAGCTAAGCACGGATTTAATTGATCCTAACAAGACAATGGATACTGGACAAGGCACTCACCTCCCACCGCCCATCGCTGGCTGAAAACTCGCAGCGTAGGTAAAATTGTGTTAACCTTTTCTTGATCCGACGCTCGGTCTTCTGGCAGTGAAGTGTCAAGAAAGATAATAGCAGCTCGAAAGACACAGCACATTCCGACGAACGAGTAATGCAAGACGTTGTGACCCTGGATCGTATCTATGGCTAAAGTGCACATGTCCCAAAGCATGCGACGGGATGACTGTAGTGCAATGCCCTCTTTTGAGTCCAGTTGAGCGTTGATCTGGCGAGCTCGAGCTTCGTGAAGGACAAGAGCGCAGCTAAGAAAGACATTGAGTTGAAAAATTCAGAATGGGGAGACGATTGGCGTTAGACCTCACCTTATAGCCATGGCGATGGAATCGCAAAATGTCCAGCCATGGCTACCCTCTCGGTTTATCAAATTCTGTACAAGAGCTCTCATATCATCGTCAATTATGGTATAGTCTTCACGCGGTAGGGAATTCGTCCCAGTCCTATGAATATAGTCTAATGCTCGACCAGCCATGATGGACACCTGGCATGTAGTGATGAACTTCTGGTCATTTCCATTCGACCCTGGTGCCATTTCGTCTAAGCCGAATGGAGTCTTTTGCTGTACCACATCTTGAATCAGACTCCAATGGTCGCAAACGAGTGGTGTTTGGTATGTGATGGTAGATAATGCAATCATCCTAGTATCTTAGCAAGGGTTAACATTATTTTGCCGAGTGTGCGTCTCACCTGTCAAGTATGAGAATTGACCCATGTAGAGAGAGAGATGTGTTGGTTAAGGATAAAGCGTCTCTGCCTTTCATTCCGCCAAGATTCAGTTGCTCCATAGCGACGACAGAGCAAAGTGTCGCATATGCAGACCGAGGTAAACCATGACCACACTCGTACAGAGCTATGAACATGCCGGTCTGAATCAGATGTACTGTTTTCTCAGCGCTTAGATGTATCTGCATGGTCCCGAAAAGTTGCTTTATCGTGATGTAAAGGATGTTCCGACCGATATGATCTGGATGACCACACGGCTGGCGGATCACTAGATGAAGGGATAATAACAAAAGCGCGTGTTCAGGCTCTCTGGCTTGCTGGTGGCTCGGAATTATACCCGACTCTGTGTATACATCAAGTACAGGAAGCCAAGTATGAATACAGCGTTGATATTCGTCCAACAAGGAGGAGGTCGCTACATCGAATAGACCCAATATCTCAGAAACTAGTTGTGTGAACCTTTGCACTGATCCTGGAATGGTTCTTACATATGTAGATGCTACATGTAGAAGGGCGGACTGCCCCTGGGACGACAAATCATAACCACAGGGGCCATGGTCAACATAATCTCTCCATTGGTTCGCATCAGGATGAGGTGGTAATAAAACAAGTGCAGTATAGTCGCAGTTTCTCCATTTTCTGAACCTGTTATTAACTTAAGCCCGAGTGAAGATCATCTCAAAGTAAAACGGCTTACGATGCACATCGAGAGCATTTGGGTAATGTTCGATCACACCCTTGTTTTCGAATTCGGCAATACGCGCACGCATGTGCCGCTTTTCCGGATGATTCGGGCTGAGCCACCATCATGACACTACACTCAGAGTACTCGAACAATCATGGACTCACGAGACACGTTGTCTCAAATCTCGCGCAATGATGTTGATGGTGAGTAGAAGCTTCGGCCGCCCCCCTGAATATCGAAAGGAAGCAGTCGGTATTCCTCGGTCCAAAATACTCGGTTCATTGGCCAACTGGCGCAGTTTATTTTACAGGGGAGCGGCCGACACTAGAGATTTTATTGACACTAGGCCATGTTTAGTTGCTGGCCTAACCTGTTGAGGCTTCTATCAGGGTCACAGTCCTTACTGACATATCACAACATTGAAAGGGATTGAGACTCTACTACGGATCTAATGGCAGATTCCCGAGTTGGAACTGAGTATAAAGAGTCTGATTCTTGTTTAGAAAATGTGAGAGATACTCTCCTACCTCAACAGCCTTAATTTAATCCCCGTTACTCCATTGTCGAACTTCAAGATGACTAAGATCAAGAATGTTGCAATCCTTGGTGTAAGTCAAGTCACCTAGCTATTATCCATAGGTTATACGTCGTTTTTAGGTCTGTACTAATCTGGTCTCTGTATGTTAGGCTTCCGGCACCCTCGGCCAAGTCCTCGTACCAGCACTCGTGCGAGCTGGGTTCGCGGTAACCGTCGTTGTGCGTCCAGAAAACAAGACAAACGTCTACTCCGGCGTAACTGTGAAGACGGCGAGCTATAGCGACACAAAGGCTCTAGCATTCGCATTCGAGGACCAGCATGCTGTGGTTGAAGCCTTCAACCCTGCCGCTGCTAGCCACCAAAGTGCTATCGTTGAGGCAGCTTTGGCAGCGGGTGTATTACATTTGATCACCCCCGAGTTTGGATCCGACTCCTTCAATCCTCATGTCGACGAGCTTCTTATTTACGAACCAAAACGCGAAGCCCAGCGACAGCTTGCAGATACTCTAGCCAAGTCTGATGCTACACTGTCTTGGACAGCAATACACATTGGAGCTTGGTACGACTGGGCGATTGAGGTGGGGAGATTCTGGGTTGACAAGAAGACCAGAACAATCACTCGCTTTGGATCTGGCAATCAAAAGTATAGCATGAGCCGACTCGCAATGACAGGCGATGCGGTAGTGGCTGTGCTCAAGCAACCAGAGCTCTTCCGCAACAAGCCTGTGTTTTTCGCCAGCCATACTGTGTCAACCAACCAACTGATTGATATCATCAAGGAGGAGCTTGCAGACCAAGACTGGAAAGTAGTTGATGTGGCCCTTGATGGGTTCGCCGAGAAAGCTCGTGAGCTTTGGGATCAGGATACAAAGAATGGGGTGCAAGACAGGCTCAATAGTCGAGCCTACGCCATGCTTGGCACTGCTGCCATCTTTGATGAGAACAATAAGTACGGTGCTGATTTTGGGACGAAGGTAGAGCCGGGATGGGATGAAGGCGAGGCTACTTTGCGGCGTCAGCTGAAGGACCTCCTATCCTAGAAAATCTATGGCATAGGTTAGGTCCGTAACACCAATACTTGTATCTTTAACAAGAGTTCTTGAGCGATTCTTTTGATTGTTGCCATCGACTATGTATTGAACCCTGTCATATGTGCCTTAGTGCCATCTACCATCCAAGTAAGCCCGACCATATCGCCGTCCAATCATGCATACAACCCCGAGTCCCGCCGTTAAGTTTCCTCCTTTGTCCCACCCGGTTTCCTCCCGTAAGCAAAATATACAACTCCATAGGCATGGATCTTCTTATCTTTTAGATCATTTCGCACGCCTGCTAGGAACACCTCAATACGTTCCTTGCTCCACCCCAGAACCCGAGCAAAGACAGCCGTACTGAGGGATGCAATTCCCTCGCTCAAATTTTGCAGAGAGATGGCGCCGAGAAGCTTGTTCTTCTGACCTCGTGGCCACGAATTCACAGCCACAAAAACACGGTGCTCCGTCACATCTTCGAAGCCTGCTTCGCGCATGTAATCGCCCCATCGCTGGCTGCCGCTCAGGTCTCGGCCAATACGGGACATGCCCTCGACTAGTAGTCGGTTCCATCTTCAAGAGTGTCAATCAGCCCATAAGCTTGTCAAAGGTAATCTTGGACAGCAACTTACTCGCCAAGCTCAGTGCCATCGAGTGTTCCATCATCACTCAGCATCGGCAAGCAGGGATCCTGCAACTCGAAATAACCGCCAGGCTCGAGATTGTCATAGATTTTCCGTAGCATATCTCGGTTGTCTTTGAAGCAGGTGACGATTGCCCTGGCGTGGATGTAGTCGAATGGCCGACTGAAGTTCCACTCATCCTCGGCATCGTCGACTTCGAATACGCAGTTCGGTGGAACGCTGAGCGGTTAGATGGTGTATAGACTCGAATGCTAGTTGAAATGACTCACTATTGTGGTTGAATGGGGCTTAGATCTGTGCCAACGACTTCGGCTTCGGGATACTCCTGAGCTATAATCGTCAGCAAGACACGGCTTATATAGACCGAGGAGGCTCAAACTATACCAAATTCTATAGCCCAGATACCAGTACCAGTTGCAAGATCTAGCACGCGTCGTGGTCTTGCAAGGGGAGCCAGATGCAGTTTTCCGTCTAACATGATTCTGAACGAGTGATGCTGCAAATCTAATACATTCAGCACACATCAAACGATGAGATGTCTAATTGGCTCACCAAGTCTATCCTGCTCCTTCTCATCATTCGGTAGCATGTATTCTTCGCTCGAGTCAGCAACGGGATCCTTAGCGCGTAAAGCCGTTCCGTCACTACTCACTGCCGGAGTTGTAAGCATGGTAGGTCCGTCCATTCTCTTCAATGTAGTTGTATATGCTCGATCTCATTGACACAGTCGACTCGCTGGGGATTGTTAGTACTACTGTTATGATAGCATGATGGCCGCTGTAACTCACAAGACCGACTCTCCAATTGCGGAATCATCGTCGCGGGTGCTTTGCTAAAGAGTTGTCAATTGAGCCTTTGTCTGCGACTAAGACCCACTCACGTCCGATGAATCCGTCCCAACTTCAAGATCGCTTGGGAAGGGAAATACGCGACCTTGAAAGTCAACTTGCGGCTCCCGTCCGGCCACATTGCTACCCTGAATCGCGCCCGATTGCGGGATTTTCGACGCCGGCGGCTGCTGCTGCGACGCTGTGTCGTCCGATGCGCGCGATGCTTCGGCGGTCTGGTCTTCGGCGGCCATGGCTGGGGTTGTGGATATATTACTACCTGGTGATAATGCACATGGATCTCACAAGCCAGGGGCCACACACAGCAGGGTTTCACGATGCAATGACGGACAGTTGGGAATTGGCCGGTAGGGGTTAAAGATCTGCACCGGAGCCCTGCATCAGGAGATCCTACCAGCCTACTCCTCATTTTACGCGCTATCAGCCCCCACCGTAGCCCCCGCTCGCTATGCCGTCTTGGTGATGGTGCCGGCTCGCCAAATCCTACCTTTTCCCCTTATAGGAAAGCCAGACGACGAGTGCCACGTGAAACAGAAATGTAGCCAGTCTGTTGGGTCAAAAACAACATTTCAGGTTGGAGACAAGCTGTATCATTCAATGGGAGCAATAGACTTTACGAATTGCCCGAGCAAGATTATGAATGACTGCGGAGAGTAGGCAGCCGGCTGCCATGCTATGCGCAAAAATCATGAATCCAGAGGCAAGAGTCGGTGATAATATGAGTGTCTCATCAAAGAGAGATTTCAGTTGATTCTCGCTGTTAAGTCTGCAAAATATGCCGTTGTGGATTTACATAGTGACGTGTTTTAATCTTCATAACAGCATTCCAGCAGCCTTTCAAATCCACCCAAGACAACCAAGACCAATGCCACCTAGCACAGGAATGAAAGACCAGTGCATCCACCCTCCTTTCCCAGCGGCCGTCTGGACGGCATATCCATCCACTATAGCCATGGGCAGAGCTCCCAGCAGAACCAGTCCCATTGTCTGTTGGTTGCCCGAGTACCATGATGCCAGACAGGCAAGCCCAACAGCAAGATCGCGGGCACCATACATCAAGATCTGTGCGTGAACGAGTTTTTGTGCCGCGGGCTCCTTTGGTCGTTGGACCTGGAGCAAGTCGTAGAATGAGTCTGGACGGAGGAGGGCGTTCAGGCCGAGGAAGACGGGTGACAGGCTTGCCAGGCCATGGCTGATTGTCCAGAAGTTTTGAGGCGGGATTTGAGCCATTATTGATGGTAAACAGACGTGATTTCGGACAAGATGCTTAATAAGTGAGACGATGCTGACTTGACTCGGGTCCGTATAAGAATCTGGGGGTGAATTGACTTTTATACCGAGACGGCTCCTCAGCCCTAGCACCCAGGGGTGTGGTCTGTGCCGCAAATGAACAGGGCCAGCCCCAATGACGTGGGGCTTAGGAGTTTCCATCTCCTCACTTATGGCTCCCGAGCTGTAGGCTTAGACTTCCACTAGCTGAGCTGAGGCCGCACCAGTAATGGAGTGCCGCGACGGGAAGACCAGACCAGTTGCGGCAGCTTCAATATACAGTAGGTATCACTTTTAATTCTAGAGTTTGAAATTACGCGCAGTCAGATTGTAATTAGTGTCTGAGAACTCCCACTTACCTGGACTACTTAGTGCATTTAATTCGATAAGCGTGTTTCGTCACCTTGGGTCTGATGTGTCTCGAGGTGGTGTCCCCTCATTTTGTCACGATGAATGAGTAGCGATCTAGATGGATATGAGACTTCGGTACACTCTTTTGAGCGATTTGCATGTTAACAAGAGCTGTTGCAGCTTATTTTCGCATCATTTTCAACTTAAATGAGATCAGCTATGTGGTGTTGCCGACTGATAGGGTTGTGATAGCGGCGGTTAGACTTCAAACCCGAGAAGCGAAATGCTATCGAGACTAACTTGTCTCGACTTAAACTGAGTGATCACCCCACTTGGACGCGATAAGCTCCTGCTTTCATTGATCAGTCGACTATTTTCGACGATGGGAGATTGGTGCAGATCGCTGATAAATAGGTCGCCATATCCGTCGAATTGGGACATGTGAAGTTGACGATAAGCCAAGTATCTAATTGACGATGTTGTCCCTTAGCCGTTTGCTTCCAGGCCTGTTGGCGCTGTGCCCAGCTGTTCTTGGAATACAATCCGGTTCAACTGTGAAGACAGTCAACGGAAGCTATGTCGGCATTGACCTTCCATCTTTCAAACAGGAAGCGTTCTTGGGCGTTCCCTTTGCTCAGCCACCGACTGGACAACTCCGACTAAGACCGCCTCAATCGCTCAATACCACTTTCACAGCAAAGTCAGTAAGCCAATATGGGTATACATGTCCAGGCATGGATGATCCCACTGTCTATGATATGAATGAGGACTGTCTTACCCTGAACATTGTGAGGCCCAAGTATATTCTGTCCAAAGACTTGCCCGTGTTAGTGTGGATATATGGCGGCGGCTTCCAGACTGGAGCCACTAATACTCCCACCTACAATCTAAGTTATCTTGTGCAAACTTCGGTTGAGATGGGCGAGCCAATCATTGCTATTAGCTTAAACTATCGGAAGGCTACATTTGGCTTTTTGGGAGGACGTGACATGGTTGTAAGTGTCCGCTGCTTTGGCCTCAGGTGAGCAAAGCTAAAAAAGGGTGACAGAACTCGGGAAACATGAATCTAGGCCTTCTTGACCAGCGACGCGCGTTGGATTGGATACAAGAGAACATCGATGCATTCGGAGGTGATCCAGAGAAGGTCACCATCTTTGGCCAGTCGTCGTACGTCTTTAACAATACCCAATTGAGTTGAGGTGTTAATATGGTTACATCTAGGGGTGGTGCTGCTGTTGGGTTCCAGTTGGGTGCATGGGGTGGCCATGGCAAACCTCCTTTCCGCGCAGCTATTATGCAGAGTGGCTCATCCAACTCCCAGCCTAGTGAAACCTCTTGCTTCTTGTATGGGCCCAGAAACTAATTCATTCTAGACAACGGGACAGACTATCATCAACCCATGTACGAGTTGGTACTTTCTCGAGCAAACTGCTCTGATGTGCCTGACCGACTCGACTGCCTCCGGCGGTTGTCATATGAAGATTACGTCGCTGCTAGCTCGGGCCTGGTCTTCTTTCCTACCGTTGATGGATCCTTTTTACCTACCATTGGCAGCATTGCCAAGGCGGCCGGGGCCTTCTACAAGGTTCCTATCATAGCAGGTACCACAACTGATGATGCCACTTCGTTCGCGCCAACAGACCGCAACACAGATGAGGATGTCAAGCGTCCGCCAATTGTCGTCGGCACGGGTTACACTATTTCGAACTACTCATGGACCAGAATCCTGGATTTGTACCCGGACGATCCCACGCAGGGCATTCCAGGCAGCACTGGCAGCGAGCGTTTTGAGGATCTCGGCTACCAATACAAGCGAGTTTGCGCTATTGGTGGCGATATTCTTTTCCAAAGTCCACGTCGTCAGGACTGCCAGGTCTTTGCGGCTGCTGGCTTGCCTGTTTACTCGTATCGCTTCGACACGCTCCCATACGTGAATGGGTCAAATGCCACATATACCGACCTTGTGGGAACTCCCGGCTCGGCAGCCCTAGGGGTCAAACATAGTTCTGATCTTCCATTTGTGTTCAACAATCCTGAAAATGGACTGTCGATTGTCCTCGGTCCCAAGGAATCGTATCACGCGCTTGCAAATACAATGTCACGCATGTGGATTTCGTTTGCGGCACATGGAGACCCTAACAAGCACGGTATTGACGGTGTGCCACATTGGTCGACTTATGAAAAAGGCTGCAAGTCGAAAAACTTCGTCTTCCATGCTGATTCCCCTGGTGGTGGTTATTTAGAATCAGACACATGGAGACAGGCAGGCATGAACTATCTGATTCAGACTCAAGCAGAACGTGTTCAGTAGTTCGCGATCTATTTCGAAGTCTTGAGAGGATTCAATGTACCATGATCAATGAATATTAGAACTCTTCTAATGACAATACTTAACAACATCATCTTCTTTGTCAATTCAAAAGAAAAGCAAGCTGGTTTTTGCTAGAGACTTCATATGAAGATAGGAGTATATTCACATTCTGGCACATGGTCTTGGTATATTATACCAAATAAGACTTTCAATTAATTGCAGCAAGGCTACCACGCCACTCATCCGGCCGTCCGGAACCAGCAATTGATACTTTACTGACGTAACTTTTATTACTTGAAGGATACTCACTGTCAGATTGTTCCTTGCCTTCAAAGATCTGGATCCGAGAACGTGGATCCGAGGCGGAAGTCAAACCGGACCTATCAGTCACTTGGATGCCTAAATAAATTATGCGACGCTCGTGGAAATAGATATATTAGCTAAGCCCCATTTTGTCTTTGGTAGCTGTTAGTCCTTGTCAGCCTCACGAGACTAGGCTCCGGTGTAAAACTTCACATCAACGGAAATGCTCCCCGACGGTCCTGCTGCGTTCTTACTTCGGCCCCATGTGCTTCTTTCTGCTACGTTGCACTAATAATAATATCAATGCTTCTATTGTGATTGAGCAACGTGATTTGGTAAAGAGAATTCGGTAAATGTTTGGTATACCAGGAGGTTCTAGGACTATAAGTAGCAGCTTGCCATAGAATTGTTGAACGTTCAACTCCTGAACTAATGAACTCTTCCTCATACCTCCCAAAGACTGTATTTATCGCCGTTATTGATACAATGAGCTACTACTTGATATTACATGCCTTGATCGCGTCGGCGACTGCATCTACTCAATCGTCGATGCCAACAGCCCGTCAGGCACCTGGAGGACAGCAGGTTGCATGGGCATCCTACATTGTGAGTCAGGTTGCTGCCAGAGGTTCTCTTATCGAGGAATTACCTTTTGAACACTTTCAGAGATAACGCTGTTGACTTCGATTGATTTAGCCTCCGACTGACACGAGAGCCTGGAGTAATCTCACATCATACGACAAAAACAAACTAAGCGTCCTCATTGCGAACGTTGTCAACGGACCGGATACTTCTCAGAACGTTGACTGGGCTAAGGTTATTAATGACACAACAAACTCCGGCAAGACCGTCATTGGCTATGTTCGCACCGGATATTTTGGCCTTAGCATACATAACTTCACGACCCGCCTCGGATCTCGAGACCTCGCCGATTGGATCGCTCAAATCGAAGAAGATGTAGATCTATGGTACCAGCTCTATCCCAACACTAGGGGAATCTTTTTCGATGAAGCTTGGTCTGATTGCGGAAAGAATATCTCGTATTCTGATGTCTATCGCCAAATCAGCGATAACACCAAACGCAAGTATCCGGGGGCATTTACAGTACTGAATCCAGGAAGCCCCATGCCGCAATGCTTTGAAAACAGTGCAGACACACTGTTGACATTCGAAGGCCCCTACATAGACTATACCACTAATTATAAATCGAATGACTGGAACGCAACAGACACTCGAAAGATATGGCATATCGTCTATGGTGTGGCGCAGAACCAGATAGGCGAAATTGCTGCCAAGTCTCAGGAACGCGGTGCAGGCTACATCGAGACCACCAATGATAGCGGAGACAATCCGTATGATACTCTACCAGACGATACGTATATGCAGACTCTCTTGAATGCCGTCAGTGGCGGGAGCGTCTTGATTGGAAATGCCGGACCGCGGCCAAACGGTACGGCAGCTTCAGGACCAACATCTCTGGTGGTCACTACGTTCGATTACACCTCAGTTAGTCTTTCATGGCCGCTTGTGGACGGAGCTGCCGAGATTCAGATCAAAATCAACGGTGGGACAAACTATTTGAGTCTCCCGGGAAATATGACTAGAGTCACGGTTGGCAATCTTACGCCGGGGACCGCTTACGTCTTCACGGTTGTTGTTCTGGCTTCAGACGGGACTCAATTACCGGGAACACCTAGCGCATCGGCGACTACAACCGCCCTCCCTGACGGGGGTAAAACCGTGACCAATGTCAAAAATAGTACATCACCCGACTCATCTGCATATGATGCTGACATTCTTGTTCCTTATGCATTCGTACGACTTTTCATCTGGGGCGGCGGAATGAATTGCGACTTGACGACTGATCACGCCTGGCCAATCAACTATAATGGTACCCACTACGTCTGCACTCACTACATGGTTGAGGGAACGAAGTTGTTTCAATACTCTGGTAGCCTCGACCCTGTAACACACGGCGCTACCTGGGCATGGACACCTCTAAATGACACCGTACGGACACAGACAGGATACACGTACCACTGGACTATTCCGCTAGGGACCTCGAAGTTCGATACTAATCAGTTTTTGATTCAGGTTCAAGGCTACGGACCGTCTGGAAACTACCTGAAGCCTTGCCCCGATGGTACTGATTCCAATGTCGCGTTCTGTGCCTGATTTCCTTTCTGCTTTCCTCTCTCCCAAGAATGGATTATAGGCATGTGGCGTGACTGTTTTGTTTGCACACCGTTGGTGACGGCCGAGGTGACTTGAAGATTGACGGATATAGAAATGAGAGTTTCAGGGGTAGTATTTATTTCTCTTGTACGTTCTTTCATACATTCACTTCTTGCGAACAACAGAATGCGGCCCTTTTTCGTGCCAATTCCAGTCCATGTAAACATTCATCACAACTCGAAGCTTCTCAGTCTCCAGTGTGTAGAGGACGGGTTGTAGAAAGCATAATTGGGAAGCTATCCCCGGTGAATGAAAGAGAAGGCACATGACTAACCTACTTCAACAGCTAGGATTTATGGTATCAAAAGGTTCGCATAGCTTAGATAAGTCGGCTAGATAAGCAGATCCTGGGAGACGCTGGTCATCATCCCCTCTGCTGTCGGTTATCCTGATGAGAACACTTTGAAGACACGGCTCGCCTAGGCTCACTATACGGGGTACCCTCTATCCGTTGAAGAGTAGAGAGTTGTGTAAACTTCAAAAGAGTTCATAACGCGAATATGCTGTAACCTGCTAGATTCGAATCAATTGAGAACTTGCGAGCAGCCTCTTTGGGCTTATTGCTACGATAGAGACACCGGCATTCTGAAGTGCGGAGGCGGCACTCTCGGGATAAATAGGTTACATTGCGCTCTTGGTATGACTGAAAATACTGTCGATCCTGTTATTTGCCCGGCTTGGCTGCAGGAACAAAGGCACACCTGCCGCTTTGGTCTATCACGCGAAGCCGTCCCGTGATTTCGCGACTGCCATTCTCTAGTACTCTCCAAGCATTATCCAAGCCTCTAGGCTTGCAATGCCGGTTCGCCGCATATATACACTATATGTTATCACGGTAGCTGTCCTCTTGGCTGCAGCCTGGGCTCAATCTCACCTACCAGATTTGTATATCACGCAAGCTGCTTTTGTGATATCGTAAATCCTCTTGCCAATGTCGAATCCTTGGTCTGCGGCACGGTGCATACATTTGCCGACTATAAAATAATTTGCGGCGTCGGCAAGGTTTTTCAATCTGAAGCAGCCTGGCAATGGCTTATTAGACTCGTGGTTTAATCGATTGACGTATACTAAGTCTTGTCGTCGTGCTTGGCATTTCTTGAAGATTAAATACAGTCCGGGACACTCAACTACAGGTGACGATGAGATCAATCACTGTAGGCGTCTTTGCGGCGCTCGCCGCTCTGTCAACGGCTAAAGAAATGGTCATAAACGCCGAAGTGCACGCGGAGCTTTTCGAAAGTGGAGTCAGGCATGCTGAAATCTTGGCTCTAAAGAATGTAATGTGATTTGGACGTTTTCTCAATGTTACATGCTTCTAACGTATGGTAGAAAATATGGGACCAACTAAGCAAAGAAGGCGTCTATGATTCAACGCAGTATAGAAGCTTCGACAAGAAGAAGGAATATGTCGCATGCACTGATGGAATCGCGGCATATGTGCCAGGCGATCCAAAATACACATTCAGATGCAGCAATCTGGACCTGTACGATTTTAAAACGCATGCTGAGCTTGGCAGCTCTTCGGGTAGGGGAGCCGGGTCTTGGGGATGGACCAGTCCAAAGGGGCGAGAGTTCATTGCCATTGCGCAGGAAGACGGCACAGCGTTTGCTGAAGTCACGAAGAAAGGCAAGCTCATCTACTTAGGTAGGCTGCCGCAGTATACCACTGCGCCCACATCGCTGTGGCGAGAGATCAAAGGTTACAAGAGCTATATTGTGATTGGTAGCGAGGCGGTGCAGCACGGTGTCCAGATTTTCAATCTGGCGAAACTTGCTGACATTGACCCGGCTCACCCTGTGGTCTTCAGCAACGAGGAAGACTTAGATGGATTCTGGAATGAAGGCCTTCCCTTAGGCCGATCTCACAACGTTGTCGTCAATGAGGAGAAAAATTATGGGGTGGCAACAGGGTTTCAGCCACGCAATGGAACACTACGCGCCGGCCTAGTGTTCTTTGACTTGACGGATCCGACGAACCCAACGACACTAGGAGGCACAGGCGAGGATGGCTATGTGCATGATGCTCAGTGCATTGTATATCGGGGCCCGGACTTGGAATACTATGGTCGCGATATCTGCTATGGTTACGACGAGGACACTTTGACTATGTAAGTTAGGTACATGAGCAGCAGTTTGCGGAGTTCTTCTGCTAATGAGTCAAAGTTTCGATGTGTCAAACAAGAAGCAAATCAAAATCATCTCAAATACATCGTATGAAGGTGTCAGCTTCACTCACCAAGGCTGGGTACTCGACCCCAAGTGGCAGCAATACCTCATTTTAGATGATGAATATGATGAGTATGACAAGACGGGTCTTGCAGCAGATGGATATCCCATCTCGTACATCTGGGATATCAGCTCGCTTGAAGCACCAAAGCAAACAGGCTACTACAGGGGATTGAGAAAAGGCATCGATCATAATCAATTTGTCAAAGACGGATATACGTACCAGAGTAACTACGCTCTAGGTATCAGTATCCTCGATCTTAGGTCTGTGGCACGGGATCCGACTGGTAAGGGAATTAAGGAAGTGGCATACTTTGACATTCATCCTGAGGACGACAACGTGGCTGGTGGTGGTAATGTCACCTTCACGGGAACATGGAGTCATTATCCGTTTTTCCCTAGTGGGTACATTGTAATTAATACAATGGATCGGGGCGCTTTTGTAGTGAAGCGCTCTAGTAGCGCATGGTGGTGGCCGTGGAACTAGTCACACATCGGGTACAAACAAGAAATCCAAGACCAAACATATCATCTTATAAGCCTACTGTCACGAGTTACAGAATTGATGCACTGTGTGAGTCAAAATTGACGTCAACTCATGGATCGACTGCACCTCAACCCATTCCTCTTTCGCGTGGAGTCCTTCTCCCTTCGCGCCATATAGTACAACCGGTATCCCTTTCTCTGATAACAATGCACAGTCCGTCCAGTAAGGGACGGACGCGATGGCCGGATATCCGCCTGTGACAGCAGAGATTCCATCTGCAACTAAGCTGACGAAGGGATGACTTTTCTTTATCTCGAAGGCGGGTCGGGAGAAAGTTGCTCTTACTTCGTAGATAAACCCGAGTACTTCCTTCGCGACATTTTTAAGCAAAGTCTCTATCTCAGTCTTGACCGATATGGCGGTTTCTCCCGGTAGTGTCCGCTTTTCTAATGAGACTGTACACTTGGCAGGATACGATGCCGGTTCTTCGCCCCCTTTGACAATAGAAGCGTGAACGCTAGGAGGCCCCAAGAGTGGATGGATTGGTCCATTTAGCAGTGCTTTCGAATAGTGATCCAGCTCGACCAAGAAGTAGCCAGCTCGAGTTATTGCGTCCACGCCGAGATCATACCTAGACCCGTGGGCTGCAACACCATGAATATCAACCTCAAGCCACACAAAGCCTTTATGAGCATGGACGAGCTCTTGATTGGTAGGCTCACAAATGATGGCACCATCTGCACGCCAGCCTGCACTTAATAGCTGCTCGGTACCAATGCTGAGATCCTCCTCGTCGGCGACGCCAGCGAAAATTACGTCGCCTTTAAGTCTCTTGTTCTTCGCACTGGCAGTAGCAATGAGTGATGCGGCAACTCCACCTTTCATATCTGCTGCGCCACGGCCGTACAGTTTGCCGTCTTTGACACCACCGCTCAGTGGATCACCATCATAGCTTCTAGTAGTAACTGTGTCTATGTGTCCGTTCAACATCAGACTTTTGCCTCCACCTGTACCACGAATCACGCCGACAACCGATGGCCGACCTGCTGTTGGTTCAAGCCAGTGTGTCTCGATATCTCTGTATTGTAACCATGCGGCAATGTACCTGGCGATCTGCGTCTCTCCTGGGCCAGGCGGTGAGCTGCTTCCCGGCACAGCTGAATTTATTTGTACGAGAGCCTGCGTTAAGGATACAGGATCATTGATGGCCACATCCTTACAGTCGCCAAAGTCCCGAGATCCTTCCGTACATAACAAGACCACGGTAGAGTCCTCATTCAGACCAAGAGCCATACGATCATCATTGTTCAGGCGACGCAAAGCCGCTAGGGGGGCTGCCCCGCATGGCCCAGGAAACACGCCGAGTGATTCAAGATACCGTTCGGCTTGCTGAGACTCGTAATCACTAACGGTTGCGCTGGCATCCACACCGTTCCGCAGCACCGGCCAAGCTATGGTTGAGACTGTGCCGCAATCCAGGCCGGCCATCGTTGTATAAGACGTTTCAATGGGTGTGATGGATCCGCTCGAGAGACTCTTCCAGAGACAAGCAGCCGTATCTGGTTCAACCGTGAGTACTTTTGATGACTTCCCAGGGGCTTTGGCGTATGCTGTTACGGCTTGAGCAAATGAGCCCACGCCCACTGGTGCTATAACAAGGTCCATTGAAGTAGGCCCGAGCTGCTCGTCAATTTCTCGCATCAACGTGCCATATCCGTCAACAATCCACTAACACAGAGTCAGAATATGTTGGTGGACACGGGGAAACGCACTCCTTACCGCAGGAATCTCTTTGTATTCAGCGAAGCTCGTATCTTGTATCAAGATACCCCTTTCTTCGTCCGCAGCCGTAAATGCTTGCTGAACAGCCACATCATAAGATGCATTCACTACCACGAGATTCGCACCTTCCTTTTTGATGAGTTCTATCGTTTCCAGATTCATAGAGCTTGGCACAAAGATTTTGACCTTTGCGCCTAGGATAGCGCCCATATGGGCCACAGCTCGCCCGTGATTCCCGTCTGTGGCGGCAAACAGGGTCACCGGCCTCTCAGCGACGAGTTTCTGTACCTCAGCGAGACTTGCTGTCGTGGGTAAGCCTAACTTCTGCGTGATGGCCTTGAAAGCCCCCCAGGATGCGCCCAGGATTTTGAAGGAGGTGAGACCTAGACGGTTGCTTTCATCTTTTAGGTAGACGGCCTTGAGTCCCTGTTCCCGAGCGACTGCATCGAGGGAGACGAGCCTTGTCGGCGCATATCCGGGTAGCTGCTGGTGAAAGGCTTGAATGGCGGTGGCATTCTTCTCATCAAGCGCCGGGGCTGTCCATGAGCGCGCTGACGGATTATGATAGACTGCCCTTCTGAGAGTCATCGCATCTGACTTTGACTGTAGCGTTGGAGGAACACAGCATCTACGATTTTGTAGATGAGATCGGGAGTACTCAGATAAAACTCACTTCCGTCAATTGATGGCTGTCAATTTGCTTTATAAAAGCCCTGTGTTTCGGTAACTCGGTCGACAAGTTGCCAAATGCGATTATGAAAAAGCCGATATCGTCCACATCCCCCTGCCCTGAGAGTGGTAGAGGGTCTGCTGTTAGCGTTGTAGACCTGTCCACCGGAGGGCGTGGAGTATCGGGTTTGTTTCTACAACTACCATTGGACCAAGTAATTACAGTGCTGCTAGTTGCATTTGAGGAGCTGCTATTACGAGTACATATCAATTTTCGCGGAATCAACGCTAACCTTGAAGAAGTACGAACGCGGATACGCTACTAAGGCGCAAGATTACAGGCACTTAACCGCCGGCGCCGTGGACGCCGTGGATGAGTGATGTGAGAGCTGCCTCTGGGCTTTTTTTTTTTTGCAATTTTTTCACTCACTGTTATTTCCTATCCTATGTCCTCAACATGAATTACAAGTCTCGTCATTGAAAGTCTCTCTCGTGTCATGTGTAGCGACCCGGCCAACATTGTCGCAACACCAGAATTGGAGCAAATTCATAGTGATAGATCCAACTGTATGAGAAGACCTTTTGTAAGACTTAGCCTTAGGACTTCTTTGAACTTTCGAGTAGCAGGATCAAATTCAAGAAGCAGCATGCTTCTTGACAGATTAAGATGGATCGAGTCATGAATACAACTTCGTCAGCAACCAGGTAAGGCAACGAATGACGTATCTTCTAGGTTAGCAGGTGCTTCGAATCTCAAAACACCCCCAAATCTGCCCTGTTGCGAGCCTCGCAGGCCTCCACAGCTCGGACTTCTTTGGGTGCACTGCCTCAAGCCACCACTGCTGAAAGCTGAAAGCCATGGCTGCAACCCCGCATATTTATTAGCGATGCAAATCTAGAGTATCCTGATTATATCTCACCCAAACAATAGATCCTGGCTTCCATATCTTGACGCTCCAGATCTCGTACGAATGGTTTCCATAGTAAATACAGATAGTCACCGGTTTCGAGCCGTCGCGCCTTCGTTGGGAACGGCTCATGAAAGTGCGGCGAGAGTTTGGGATATCGACCTCCCTGGAGAGCAAAATGAGGTGCTGCACGGCGCTGACTTGAGATCAAAACTTTCTAGCCTCGTATGGTTATTTCTTATTCTCTCAATATCAATCAGCGCCTTTGAATATCGATAAAATCTTACTCATAGATTTTCACATTAGGATGACTTTTGGGCTGGGCGCGGCGCCATCGAAACTCCAGGAACAAGTCCAACAGTACCAAAATTCATGCTCATGTAAGCCACGACCCTGATATTACGGAAGGAATTTCAGGGGCTTCACAACGCCAACTTCAAATAGAACAACAACAGGGGATGCTTGTTCACAGAGATCTCCGATCCAATTATGTTTAGATCTACTGCAGTCGACGATTCATGTGGCTGGACTTGACGAGAAAGCAACAAGGGCTTTCCTTCTTAGCTCGCTCCCTCATGTGTCCTTCTACTACCAGTATGACCAAGACAATGATAAACCAGTTGCTATGGGTATGTCGTCATGTTGAGACTCACTTTTCACTTACACCTGCTGATTTACTGATTTACTGATCATTCGCGGCTGTAGTCATTCAAGTCCGCTGCCCAAGGTTCAGCAAATCTGTCGTAGGATTCATGAGGATACACATCAAATCTCGCCAGTGCTTCGCGTTTATTAGCTGTCGTTACGAGGCAGATGTCCAAGATATTCGACAGCGCTGTTTTGCTAACGCTGACCTGCTCCGGATCCATCCCTTGTATCTTCTCTCATTCGTATACGAACATCGTTTTCAACGCTGGACTGATTGGTACTCCAAGCTTTGGAGGGAGATTGTGGAGATTGAAACAGTGACGAATATGACCAGTCCCTCGTGGGGTTTGAAGCAAATTGATAAGGACCGTCTGGACCTTCTATCACATCCAGACAATCTCCTCGCTCAACAACACGCGACCCAAGTACAGCTATGCCACAGCCAAACTGTTGTAGCGTTTGCATCACGATTTGGTCGATTTTGCTCAGAGGCGCTCGAGAACATGGAGAAGTGCCGGGTAGAATCCAGCCTACAGCCTTTGTCAAGACGTGACATGTCGGATCTGACAAGCCGCTTTAATTGGACACTCCAACAATGCGAGGCCATCGCAGAACGCCTATCCGAGCTAAGAAATAGGCTCACAGGTCAGATTAGTGTGGTATATCTACGGGCGTCGTATTTGGATCTGTAAGAAGCGCTTTGAGCTAATACCTTACACAGTCTTACAGCCTCATTGCGCAGAAAGACAGCAAGATCAATTTCGCAATTGCCAGGTTTCAAGCCCGCGATAGCCGTACAGTCAAAGCTATCGCTGTTTTAACGTTACTTTTCCTTCCATCGACACTTGTTGCGGTATGCATTCCTTTCTCATGGCGCTTGTTTCGATTCATGGTCAGTCCTCGTCATGTCACCAGCTGACAATAGTTAGACACTATGGACAACAAATTTGTTTCACCTAGAAGGTAGCAAGAACTGGCAGGTATATATCGGGGCAACCTTAATTTTGACATTAGTTGTTTTTGTGTGCTGGCTCGTCTATGGTCGATTATCTCGAGCTCGTCAGGAGGCACGGTGGCCAGGGGTAGGTGCGGATAGACTAAACCTTTCTTCGGTCTAGATGTGATGCAGATTCCCCTTGGAAATTTTACGTATTACAGTAGGAACCCCTACTTGTATACAGTTCAATATTATATTAAACATTATATATCGTATTACTAAGTTCGTTTCCTCGGTTGTCTAGAAAAAGGTGGTATTCTAAGATTAGTCCTCAAATCGTTGACGACCTAAATCAGCCTTGTCAAGAGTCAGCTCCTCCGTAAACAATGATGTCACAAATCCAACCCCTCCGAATGCAGTCATCGCATAGAAGATTGCTCGCATAGCTGTCAAGTAAGCTCCGAGAACTGGTTGCAGCTCGCTGTGAGGAATATCCAGTGTTCGTAGTGTTGGTATGAAGCCTATAGCTTCATTTCCGTTTCGTAAAACGGCCAGCTCGCCCGGCAGCTCTTCAATGGCCGCTATAGACGAGGCAAAGACGTTGCTAAACGTAGTCGATCCAATAGCCAGTCCAACGAGGCCGCCAAACAGGCGGATCGAGAGGGATAGCCCAATCGCTAGGCCCGTGTCGTCAACGCTTGGCACACTTGCTTGCATGGGTAGATGGAGAAGGCGCATTAAAGCGCCTATGCACCCGCCCCAGATGACTGGAAGACCCATCCGTATGGAGTGTGACGAGTCTGGCCCCAAAAGGACGAGTATGCCTGTCCCAGCTGTCATCACTGCCCACAGCACCCGGATGCTCCACCGATAGCCCTTGCCAATTATGCCCACGATGATCACAGCACCTACAGCACCCACGACACTGGTAGCACTTGTAGGTAGGAGAAGCACCGCCGATCGAATGACGGTCTCCAGCATGACGGCCTGATAGAAAAGCGGGAGATATTGAAGCAGCGTAAAGAGCATCGCACCATGCATGAAATTACCGATCAGTGTCATAATTGCTGTCCGTGAACGGAATAGTCGATGCGGCATGACGGGTGCTTGAGGTTTAGACTCATATACCGCGAAAGCGATCATGAGCAAAATACCAATGACCAAGGGAAGGATCGTCTTCCATGATTTCCATGAATAAAGTGAGCCAGCCCAGCTGAGCGGAAGAACAAAGAGCGTAATCCCAGCCAAGGATAACACAGCACCGCCCCAGTCCAGGCGCTTCATGTTGGATTTGAAGGATGTATCGATTGGCCGTAAATTGAGGAAGAAGAAGACCAATGGAAAAGCAACTCCCAGAAGAGGGAGGTTGATCCATCCTATCCAGCGCCATGAGACGTAAGAACTAAACAGTGCGCCTATAGTGGGTCCCAGTATGCTTCCGATGGCAATGGGCAGTGCTTTCAACCCCAGATATAAAGCTCGTTCTTGTAAGGTGGTCATGTCTGCCACGATGATCTCGCCTAAAACATCGAGTCCACCTCCTCCTAAGCCCTGAAGCACACGGCCCGCTATGATCGTGGCCATATTCTGTGCGAGCGCAAACACGAGGGAGCCGACGATGAAGAATAGAAACGCGACATATAGGGGCGGCTTCCGGCCGAAGACATCGGAGACGGTGGTATACAGCGGCTGAGTGACGACAACACAAAGGAGGTATGAGATGTTCGCCCAAAAGGATTGCAGAGTGGTGCCGTTGAGGTGCTCTGCGATTAACTTTGACAATTTAGTATACATACTACAAACACATGAAGAGTGTGGTATGGTCAGAGCTTACCGGGATGGCGACAGCCAGAGTCGTGGCATCCAAAGAGCACACCAAAGACATGACATTCAGCCCCCAGAAAGCCAGGTAGAATGACAAGGGCTTCTTTGTTGTTGCGGTGGTCGTACCCTCTTCGTCAGAGCTGATTGCACGTGGGCCATCATCTTCTTTGCTCTGGACCTCGGTCTGTTCAGGAGCAACTTGTAGCTTTGGCTCGGCGCGAATCTGTGGCATGTCTTGCTCCATCCGCGCACACTTCTCAAACCATCAAAAGTGCGGATCCAAGACGAAAAGGACAACGGTGGTAACGGTGAAGCGTGGGGAAAGGAACGCGACTCGATAAGTCTCGCAGAATTGTTGATAGGGAAAAGTCTGATATATTATGTAGAGGTCCGCATCACCCCGAATACAAGAAGACTGCTACAGTGATGGAGAGGCTCAAGACCAGGCAGATTTCTACACAATGGTCTGCGGGTGTCGGTTTATCTTTAAACTTGTTGTCTCTGAGTGTTTATAAGTCTGACGGGAGGCAGCCGGCACTGCACTGGGTCATCACGCACGCTATCGCCGCACACTTCGCCCACAGGTTCGTAGGAACTATTCCATCAGTTCCGACACTCAAACTCATCTGGCAAGAGTTTTGAAGGAGCATGCTTCATCATTGGCCAATTTCTAAGGGGCCCGTCGATGCGAGGATTTGACCCCCTGTTTAGACCTTTCCGAAAAGAGAAAAATGTCGCCGGTCCGACCCACCCCTGAATTAGCCTAGACTCACATCGTCAACGACCCATCGACGCCACTACTCTAAATCAATGACCCCTAAATCATCGTCCCGATATCTCTAGCAAGAGGGCCCTGCTCTCCCACAGCCCAGCATACGCAATAACACGCGCTTACGCGACTGTGCCACCCGTTAGTAGCTTGATGCTACGCGAGAGGCCGCTTTTTACATCAGCGACACCAGTGTCCTCTGACTCCGTCCCGACAAGCGCAGGCGGGTGGGCCTGTCGCCAAAGAAACCAAAGCAAGGAGGTCGCAAGCGTCGTCGGTATAGCAAACACCCAGTACAGCCAAAGCTTTTCCGACACCGACCAGTGACCGGAGTCGGCATCATAGCTGAAGAAAGACATGCTGAAGATGGCAGAGATGAAGGTCGGCGGGAGAAATGTCAGAGTGACAAAGGCGACCATCTTCATCGCCGCGCTGTCCGACTGAGCCGCCTGGCCGATTTTGACAGAGATGCCCGAGTCGTACTGCGCTACGGTGTTGTAGGCCAGGTGAATCTCGTTGAGCAGACGCTCTTTGTTTGACGCGGATCGATGCCGCAGGCTCAGGAGCAAGTGCTCGAAAAAGAGCAGTCGCCGGTGTATGTCTTTGGAGACATGGCTTGGCTCCGTGCTGCTCGTCATGAAGTCTTGATGTTCGGCCAAAACGCTGCCCATGGTCTTTCCTGCCACATCAAGTGTTTCAATCACGTGAATGGCATGCCTCGCGATATCGTGGAGGTCTCTGTAATTGGGGTTTGGCTTTCCCGCTGGCGTTCGGCGCGTTTCCATTTCTCGAACACGGTCACGTATGGTCCAGACGGAGACATCTTGGAGCTGAGCGATCTCTTCCATTAGATGGGCGTAGAACCAAAATGGATCAGCAAGTTGGTTGGAATCAAGATCGCCAAATAGCGAAGCCGATAAACGCTTTTCAATGGTTGCAGGTACGTCTAGCATAACGATGATTGACTGCTGGGTTGTAGCAAGCCACCTGGTGAAGAGGTTGACTCGATACCATTCGTGCTGCGTCCCTTCGAGAAGCTGCTTCACCTGAAACAAGCACCAAGTATCGATGGGGGGTGTGAGTTACTGTTACATAGCATGAGGGACTCAGGCTTACTAAACCCCGTCACTTCACCATTCGCGCCCTTCTTCACGTCACATCCGAAATAGCCGTTCGAGTTCTTGCAGTAACTCGACCACCATAGTGAGGGTACTTCAAGCGCATCAGTAAAGTATCTGCGACAGCAAGAGCAACTACGTATTTTCGATGCGCTTGCGGAACTTGTTGGTATTAGCATTGCTGAAGCCTCGTGGGAGGTTCACACGAACACAATGGCCACTTTTGCGTCTGCGACCAAGAAGGTAGCGTCTCCAGAATCAACACCATGCAGCGACTTATCGCTAATCTTTTCTAGTTGCCAAGATCCAGTATCTCGTTCACGTCAGCAGTTAGTGACTGCGCGCGCCCAACCATCGAGAGTTTGGTGACTTACTTGACGGCCATCGCGACACAGATAGCTCCACGCAGCAGCAACATTTATCCGTAGTCATCTTGCTACCGAAGACACATGTTGGGACAATATGTCATGGATTTCTATGCGCCATATTCAGTCTAGCGGTTTTGGACCACCAGGAAGAGTTGCACGTGCTCACATCGTACCCTATTGGTTGGATTGGGCCTCACGAGACTTGGGCGCCTACGCAGCCTTGCGGCAACTGTATCAGATCCATCGCGCACTCAGCTGATGGTTCTTCTCTCACGCATATCATGCACCATCATCGCGATCATGCGTCTTGAATGCTGGACAAATGAGCCGACCTCCCGAGTTCAGCGGGCCCATGGATGGGCACAATGTCTTTGCCGGCACGACTACACACAGCGGCGGAACGAGTAACTTCAACTTCTACGGCAGCAACCCCGCCGCACCCGTTCAGCGAAATCAAAGCCCAACCCCAAAGCCCTGTTCGACAGTGCCTTTCCCGCCCGATCCCGATTTCATCGACCGGCCGGAGATCCTGGAATGGATGCTAAGCAAGAGCGCTTGGCCTGCCGCTCGCATTGCGCTCGTTGGGCTCGGCGGTATTGGGTATGGAATTCCTGTCCACAAGCATGGCCATTCAATACGCTGACAGACAGGGCAAGAAAATCACAGCTTGCCATCCGATACGCACAAACAATTCGAGAGCGTTCGCCAGACACGTGGATCTTCTGGGTGCATGGCGGCACAGCGGAACGATTCGAGCAAGGATATCGAGACATCGCAGATACAGTTCACCTTCCTGGCCGCAACGATCCCAACGCCAACATACTGCAGCTGGTGGATCGATGGTTGCGTAGGGAGGAGAATGGAAAGTGGCTCATGATTCTCGATAATGTCGACGATATGGCGGTCTTCTATTCGACGCAGCCTCAGCTTGCAACGCTGCTCCCACAGAGCAGTAATGGATCCATCGTTATCACGTCACGCAGTTTGGACGTGGCGCAAAGACTGACGGGCAACTTTCACAGCTGTTTCGAGATCCTAGTGATGAGCCACAATCAAGCCTGTCAATTGTTGCAACAGAAGCTTGGCCTCAATCATGATGAGACTCATGCAGGCGAGCTTGCCCGTGCGCTCGATTACATGCCTCTGGCTCTTACTCAGGCCGCCGCGTTCATCAACCGACGCGCACCTCGAATGACGATGCCCAAGTACTTGAGAGAGTTCCACGAAAACGAGAACAAGAAGGGAAGCCTGCTTAACATCGACTCAGGCGATCTCCGGAGGGATCCCAGTGCAACGAACTCCATCGTGACGACGTGGCAGATAACGTTTCAGCAAATCCAGCGGGAGCGAGCATCGGCGGCAGATCTGCTCTCGTTGATAAGCTTCTTCAACCCGCAGAGCATACCTGAATGGGCTCTTCAGGAGTCTGTTTATACAGGGGAGGCGGCCGGTTCTAGTTTCGACGAGGATATTGTGGTGCTGCGGGGTTACTCGCTGGTAAAGATGACAGAGGATGGTCGAGCGTTTGAGATGCACCCGCTGGTGCAGTATTGCACTCAAACGTGGTTGGCCGCAATGTCCACAGCGGACGATTGGCGCCGCGAGTTTTTGCGGGCCATGAGCAGGCTGTACCCCCTTGGCGAGTATGAGAACTGGGGCGACTGTGGGGAATTGGAGCCTCACATCGCCGCAATCGTCCAAGGAAGGCGCCCAGAAGAAGACGAGGATGCAGAATGGTGGGCATATCTCCTTCACAATGCGGCATGGTACCGATTTAGGAGGGGGAGGTACACCGAGGCTGAGTCTATGTTGCGGCGGGCATTCGAGACTAAGCTGGCGTTGTACGGTCCCGAGCAGCACAACACACTCGCCAGCATGGAGTGCCTCGCACTCGTGTGCACAGACCTCGGCAAGTGCGACGAGGCAGAGCTGTTGATGCGACAGAATCTCGAAACAACGAGAAGGCAGCTTGGCGAAGAGCATCCGGACACCCTCGCGAGCATGCACATTTATGCGGGGGTGTTGTGCGATTTAGCCCGGTTCGATGAAGCGGAGCAGCTGTATCGCCTGAGTTGGGAGACCAGCAGGAATTTGTTGGGGGAGAACAACCAACTTGCACTCGCCAGCATGGGTGGTCTTGCCTTAGCATCATCTGCCCAAGGCAGGCACGAGGAAGCAGAGCCACTACAGCAACAGACCCTCGAAAGAAGAAAGACGGTACTGGGTCCACACCATCCATACACGCTAACCTCCATGTGCCACCTCGCATACACGCTAGATGCCCTAGGCAAGTTCGAAACCGCGGAGAATTTGTACCAACAAGCACTCGACCTGAGCAGTAGAGTTCTCGGCGCGGACCATTCTGACACCCTTAGTATAGCATATTCTTTTACATATTTTCTTTATGGACGACGACGCTTAGGCGAAGCGGCCATGTACTGCGAAAGAGCACTGAGCGGACTCAGCAAGGGTTTCGGACCAGACCACCCTCGAACAAGAAAGTGCAAAGATCTTGACCGCACCTTGAGGGAAGATATCATCAGAGAGAATGGTGATGATGCAGGTATGGTTGCAGCTGCTACTGGAAAGTCCAAGAAGCAGCGTCGGCGAGCTAAAGGCCTACCCCTAAGGATGGCAAAGCCGCTAGGGTCATGAGATTTTTATCCAAGTAATCCCACATGCCCATCATCCCCGTGTACCAGCATTCGCCAATCTGATTTCACCTCGGGTCGACGCGAGTTCAATGAAGGACCGACTGGCACGTAAATCAACACTCAACGTCGCCTAATATCGGTGCAGTGTATCCAACCAACCAGAAGGTGCGTAATGAGATGAGGCAACCTCACGCAAAATGCGGCTATTCGCATTCACCATTGTCCTGAAGAGCTTCGCCGTGCTCCCTCTCTGGTTTCTGTTGTGAGAGCGTTGTCTCGGTCATTGGCAGTTTGCGTGCTAGTTGAGTGGCAATACGCGAGGCTACTCAATCGTTCAGACACGCTCTCAATCACACATCTCGGAATGGATGAATCACATAGGAGATGGGCTCTTAAATCTGATATTACTCCTTTCTCTTAAGCATTCTGAGCAAATGTAGACGTTGATACTATAAAAAATGGCTAGTTTGAAGATCGAAAAAGGCTCAAAGAACTTCAGCTGCTACAGCTACAACTCAGCCGCTCTCCTCGGTCCAGCAAGTCATGACGCCAGAGCTCGTTCCTACGACACTCAATGAAGGACTACATCCTCAAAGGATCATTTGTAATTAGCTATTGAAATCAAGGCTGACCCCGGGGTTGCGTTTTGCTGGCATAGCTGTCAGGGTTACGGGCAAGCCTCTTAGCAGCATGGTAACTGTGGCAATCGGGTCCACTAAGTGCCTGATAACTCAACATATTCAAGTCTCGCTGGGTTCAGTCGAGTGTCAGAGATGTGTGGCCTGTATATTGCCTTGATTAATTCTCGAGTAGATGGCCAACCTGTTTTATCCAACATCCCACTATCACCTCTCAAGTTGATCTCATTGGGTGAGTGATCATCGATCCTTCCGACAGTTCCTTCCGCCAGTCATCCAAGACAGATTGTGAGGTCTGCACGAATGAATGGCTCCGTCCGTACAGCGTACTGCCTCTGTCGACACAATCTTCCAGCAAAGCCACCGCTTCTGCGCCCCTATTCATTGACTTCCAGCTAAATGCGAGGTTGTACATGCTCACCAATGTGCTCGGATGCCCTGCCCCAAGTGTTTGGTTTCTTCTCTCGAATACCTCAGTCTCAAAACTGGCCCCCCGCCGCCATTTACTCTCCTCGCAGAGGTTCGCAGCTAAGTCTGAAGAGTTCCTCGGTGTATTGGGGTGATGTTGCCCATGGACTTGTGTCATGAGTCCCTTGGCAACAGCGTGTCTCCCCTGATTTGCATAGATAATCGACAGCCGTGCGTTACTGGAGATTGTGTCGGAATGGTCATTGCCCAGTATGTCCGTTCGTTTTCTCAAGGATTCCGTCTCATACTGCTCCGCTTTGTCCCAATTTCCTTGGGTGATGTAGAATCCTGCTGCCAAGTGTAAGGCAGATGCTTTGAGCAGAGAGGTCGTGTTCGACATTGAGTCAAACACATTCAATCCTGCGATGTATTCGATGTGTGTCATGTAGAGTCTACAGTTTTCCCAGTTCCTAGAGCTACAACCTGGCCACATCTTCAATATCGCCAGAAGAACCGATCCAACAAATCGTTCATCTTCTTTCGTGGGCTCGAGCCATTTCCGTGTTGCTATCTGGACGAGTTGATGGATCGTGATGCTGTCATTTTTGCTCTCTCTGATTAATGAAAAGGCCTTGAGATTGCCAAACGCAGTTTCGAGGCGAAAGACATCAACGACTTGATTCCCGTCCTCCCATGATACTTTGATACATTGAAGAAGTAGTTCTCTGGTAATTCTTTCCGGGTCCAAGAAGCTCATAAGTCCCAGAACCTCGATGGCTAGAGGGTCTTGTTGTGCGATCTGTTCGAAGGATTCTGCTATTACGGATGTTACCGAGGTCGCCTTTCCTTGATCCTTTTTGGCCACTGGGAATTCCGTGCTAAATAGCTGTGCACCATGCTCGTTTTGCAAAAGTCGGAGATATTGGCTGACAGTCGTTGAATTGGCCTGGATGAAAGCCACGGCCTGTACAATAGCTAAAGGTAGATGGCCCAAATACGGCATAAGCTCTTGCACATGGGCATCTAAAGTTTCGTCATCTTTGAGCAACGATATGAAGAGACGAGTTGATTCATGAGATTCCATCGGTAGTACTTCAATAAGTCCATGTCCATGAGTCATCCTTAAAGCCACATGTTTGTTCCGTGTCGTCAAAAGAACAGACACATTTGCGGACTTTGGCAAGCACAGGTCTAGAGACACCATATCATCAATGCTGTCAAATATTAGTAGCCACTGTTTTGGGTCGTCTTCGATGAATGATTTCACTTGTTGAAAAAGCTCTCCTGTCGGCTCAGTGTCATCATATTCAAGATTGAAAGTCTTCGAAATGTTCAAATAAGCTTGTCGCATAGTCTCCTTGGTTTCGCTGGATATCCAAAGTACGTGATCGAAGGTGCCTTTGTATCGGTATGCATACTCCAACGCAATTTCCGTTTTTCTGTTTATATCAGTATGTTCAACCCCAGTACAAATTCTTGGGTAGCCATACCCTACTCCGCCCATTCCGAACAAAGCCACTACCTGCTGAGAATGGAAACTTGAAATAGAGTGAAGCTGATCTTGCAAGTCTTGAAGGATTGTGCCCCGACCGGAAAAACACAAATTTCTAGGTTGAGGGAGATTGTCTACTCATTTGTTAGACTCTGACCAAAATTGACGATACAAATACCAAAGCATACGGTATGATGTTTTCTGTAAGTGCTGTTTCCTGGGATCTTTTCCATTTGGCGTGTATTGGAGTGGCTCTTCGAAAATCCCCGGAGAAGAAATGAAGACATTCGAGGTGATGGGTGGATCAAACACTACCCTACTAGATGTTTCTCTTGCTTTGGGTCGCTCAGGGGCCGAGCATGCGAATCCTTTGCGGGCGCATCTTTCACATTTTTGCTTGGGCCAGTGCCTGTCGGAAGGCATGCACTATAAAGATGAGTACAATCATCCAACGGATGTGCAATTATTGCCTGTTTACCTTTTGTTTGTCCCTTCGGCAAAAAGTGCATTTCTTATAGTTGAGCGTTCTCCGCCTAGGCTCTGAGATCGGTGCACTATCGTGGCCAAAAACGCAGGCATAGTTCATTCTTATGCATCTGACGCAATGAGGCTCATCGTTCGGTCGAATACACTACCAAGAGGTTAACAGTCACCCATAGTGCCTGGAGCATATTAATAAGCATACTTTCTGACGATCTTGCTGGCACATCCGACATCTTTGTTTGGCTTCGGGGGGAACATCCTCCATGTCATGATTTTCCATCGGGAGACTTTGGCCTGGTTCTTCTTCATTCATATTGAGACCCATCTCTACTTGTTACCAAAATCCTTGGAATTCTGCTGTAAAAAATAACTCTCCTACTGAGCTGAAGACAGTGAAAATACTGATCTCACCCGATAGGATATAGGCGGCTGTTGTCACGTGGCGCTTATAGAAGTCGTTCGCCATCAACTCGATGGTTCGCCATTAACCAAGATGTCAGCTTGTGACGAAGGGAGGAGTGATTAAATTACAATTCTGGCGTAAATAGATATCATGGCCACCACTCATAGCCCTGGCTTGTCTTGCTGGCTCCAATCACGCGAGGCATCCTTCGGGGTGGCTTGGTTGTCTGCCTCGAGTTGCCTCACAGACACCCCCCGCACTTCGCTGCGCACTTCGCTCGTCGCATTTAGGGGGTGCGCACTTCGCCCACCTCTTCACCGTTTCCTAATTTCCTCCTCCACTCTCCTGTCTTCACGCTCTGCGTTAATGACTTCACGGCTGTTTTAACCTACACGGCCTTTCTATATGATATATACATAAACTTGGAAACAATTGTTGGATAGAACATCCGGTCGTGTAAGCCAATTCTTGATAATGCTTGGTTGATATAAGGCTGGGAGGACAACAGACACGTGGCTGACACGTGCACCTTTCAGCACCTCTATGGCCCCTCAACCCCCCTGTTCCGTCAGCTTTGGAGAGAATGTTATGGGTGTGACGATGTCGTTTGAGAATAATCAAATACACATCGTGATTCCCAGTGATTTTCTTCCCACACTTCAGCAGTGTGGTTCTCTGAATCTTATCCCTCGTCCTCCGGCATCTAGCCTCTTCAAGGCACAGTCCTCTTCATTTCTAGACTTCAAATCAGCTCAGACCGCCCCGCCATTCTTTCAGAGCAAGCGGCTGAAACTTACCACCAATCCTCGGTCTGTGCGGTCTGTTCAGTCACGCTACGATGCATGGGACTCTCGTGCGGTCCAGTTTCAAAGCACGGCTGCGAGACTAAGTTCCGACAATGGATCCGTTGCAAGCATTGTTGATGGCAGCAACGCTTCGTGCTCCTCACTTAGCATCTCACTTTCTGGTCCTGGTGGCGCAATCTTTGGGGTTGGTGGCGGCGTTGTCATCTCACAAGCTGCTTTGGCTCGTCGACAGGAAGAGGAAGATAGGCGAAGCGACGAAGAAGAGCTCTCGTAGGAAGTTTCGGAATGATTAGACCATCAGACGCCCACGTCTGATGTCTTTCAGTGTTTATGCAGCTCCAAGGTTTCAAAGGGTAAAGGTCAAAGTGTCCATGGTTGGGAGGTCTCCTTACATAAATGAGTCATGCTATTGAGTGCATAAGAAGGGTGACTAGAATACTTAAAAACTTTCACAAGTATAAGCAATTATACTGTGAACTATGACAGAGAAGACGACATGATTACATTGCTAATATAGAAGTCGTACTTGAATTAACGAATTTGTTTTTTCTATTGACTGAGGCTTGAAGCTTACTGACAAGCTAGAATACGCGAGTAATGATTCGCTATATCCAGTATGACCACTCGTTCTCCATCATACCAGTTGCCCTCCGCCCCAACTGGCCTGTGAGGATAGTGGACTTATGCCTTCTTAGGAACTGACCGTCACTTTTACTTCCAACCACACCTCCCCCATCCCTGTCCCACATGACCTTGCCTCGAAGAAGAACCCGGCGGGGCCAATTCCTCACTTCCACCCCTTCAAAAGGAGTGTAATCAATACTATGATGAAGCATCTCATTTGTAATCTTGAACTTGGACGGCCGCTTAGATGATCTATATGTGCTACTATCTGCCGCGGCACCATCCAACAAGCCCATTGGTGCAGTTGTCATTGGTGGCTCTTCCGGATACCAAATGACAATGTCAGCATCATATCCAGGAAGAAGACTTCCCTTTCTGTCACCTAGCCCGTAAAGTTTGGCAGGGTTAGTCGATGTCAGCTCCACGAATCTCGGTAGCGAGATACGGATCTTATCATCGTGGAAGCGATAGCCGACAGTGGGGTCGAATGTCCGGTCAAATATCAGGGGCAAGCGGGTCTCGATGCCTGGCAGTCCATTTGGCACGTCCCGGAAATCAGCATGCACATGGCCGTCCTTGTCGACAGCACCCTCTTTGGCGAGGGCCTTCTTCTTTCCGCATGGATGGTCGAATGTAGCTGGCGCGTGGTCGGAGCTGATGACAGTAAAGGTGCCGTTGGCAACACTGCGCCAGATCTCCTCGAGATCCTTGGGATCGTGCCTTAGTGGAGGAGCGCAGATGTTCTTTGCGCCCTCGCAGTCATGTAGCCCGGATCGCAGACGATCGCTCAATAAGTAGAGATAGTGAGGGCACGTTTCAGCGTGGATGGGCAGCAGTCTCTGCTGTGCTTCGCTGACGTGCTTCACGGCCTGTGGCGCCGACATGTGGACGAGGAGAATTGGTGTGTCGGTGACTTCTGCTAGGCTAATGGCACGGTATGTGGCTTCAGTCTCTGCGATCTGCGGCCTCGCGACAGAGTGGAAGAATGTGCTAGTATTGCCAGCTTTGGCTAACCGCTTTGTGATCTGCTCGATGATATCACTGTTCTCAGCATGTATCATAGTCGTGATCCCAAGACTGCGAGCTTGCATCATAATATTGAACAGGTCTGCATCACCGAGCTTCATCGGCTCGTATGTCATGTAGAGCTTGACGCTGGAGATGCCCTCCTTCTCGACCAGCTCTGGCAATTCCTTCTCCAGAATCTGCTCAGTAGGGTTTGTGAGGATAACGTGGAAGCCATAGTCGCAGTAGGCGTTACCCGCCGCTCGCTTATGGTAAGTATCGAGAACAGGCCAGATGCTCTCCTCATGTCTCTTCTGTGAGGCGAATGCAATTACGGTGGTGTTTCCACCTGCTAGCGCACTTCGGGAGCCACATTCCCAATTGTCGCCTGTCGGCGAGTTGTCTTGCTCAATATGAACATGAGAGTCTACACCTCTGATAGAGAGTGTTAGTCGTAGGCAATAAGAACAGCCGACCTAAGACTTACCCCGGCGTCACGTATGCACCTTCGGCATCGATAACCTCTGTGCTTTCTCCTGCTTCAAGACCACGGCCAATGCAAGCAATCTTGCCATCCTTGATGCCAATGTCAAGGCCGAAGGGCAACACTTCGGAAGCGGTCACCTATGTAGTCTCAGTTAGGATCTAAACCATTCAGGGCTTGGTCAGAATAGGTAAGGTCATTCTTACAATCCGACCGTTCTTAATTATAACATCCATCGTATTATCCAATGACCTACAAGCAAATACAAAGGCACAGCTCACTACGTTCTTTGTAGGAAACGGCACGCAGCCGATCGAATATACGTGCTCGAGTTGGCCGATCAGATAACTATCGCCGATGAAGCTAGCCCCTGGGTGGCAGAGCGACGGGATCGGAGGCGGCCGGCCGACCGGGAATAGCGCCCGATCGACACGCCGACCAACGAGTTGCCCGCGATACGGGAATGCACGAGGGGCTGCGATAAGCTTACACCACCTTAGACTACCTAATGGAATCCTGCAATTCGATCTAGATTTGGCCGGCGGCCTGCAGAAGTTCCTAGGTGCTGTCTAGAGGGCGGAGCTCGAATGATGATGCGCCCCGGAATCGGGCAGCTTGTAGTCGGCCTCACAGTCGGCCTAAAGCTGCCGAACTATCGTGGCCACTGCACGAGGAATTGATTTACAATTCTTGCATTTGCTTGCATTTGTGTACGAGACTCTCCGAATAGGTTCGTGTGAGACTCTACAGCAAACTCACGATGGCGGCGAACGGGACCTCATCACCACGCGTCTTCACAGTCGCAGCCGCCCAAATGGGCGGCAACCAACTTGCCGACCCGCGCGAGAAGATTCTCGGCCGTATGCTGAAGCTTCTCGATGAAGCAGCCTCAAAGGGCGCAAAGCTGGTCGCATTCCCGGAGCTGGCCTTCACAACCTTCTTCCCGCGCTGGCAGATCGACGACCCGGTCGAGAAGGCCAAGTTCTTCGAGCCCGAGTCTGTAGACGACCCGCAGGCGATCCTCAAGTCACCAAACGCTAAGCCGCTATTTGACCGCGCGAAGGAGCTGGGCACAGATATCTACGTTGGGTATGCCGAGCGATGGACGGACGAGGCGGGCAAGTCGACGGATTACAACACCTGCGTGTACTACTCGGCGAGCGAGGACAGAATTATATCAAAGTATCGCAAGATTCACCTCCCGGGCACGGTCGAGCCTATTCCCGACAAGGGCACTGGCGTCGAGCAGCAGCTGGAGAAGCGCTACTTCACTCCGGGCAATCTGGGATTCCAAGCCTTCCGTGTACCGGGGCTGGTCGATAGCGCCGTGAAGGCCGAGTCAGCGGACGGCAAGGACCCCAAAAGCCTGGTGGGTAAGGGCGACCCGATCATGGGGATGATGATCTGCAATGACCGGCGGTGGGCAGAGGCGTGGCGCAACTACGGCCTGCAGGGCGTCGAGCTCGTCATCGAGGGCTACAACACGACGCTATGGGCGCCGCAGTATCAGGGCACGCACGAGGAGCAGGAGAAGGAGTCGCTGTTCCACCACTGGATCTCGTGCCAGAGCGGCAGCTATACGAATGCCTGTTACAGCATCAATGTGGCCAAGTGCGGCAATGAGGACGGCGGGCTGCTGATTGCGGGATCGGTCATTTATGATCCGAACGGTCATGCTATTGCTGAGTCGAAGACACAGGGCGATGAGGTGCTGGTTGCGACGATTGATCTGGCCAAGTGCAGGAATGGCAAGGATCGCATTTTCGATTTCGAGAGGCATCGTCGGGTAGAGCACTACAAGCGTCTTGTCGAGCAGACTGGTGTGGTAGAGCCGCCGCTGTTGAGCACGAAATCAAACGCGAAGACTGTCCAACCGGCAGTGGTGTAAAGTGGTGTATTGCCATCGCACTTCAAGAATGTAAAGAAAAATAGAGCGAATCGAGCCTTGCTTACATTGATGACCCCCTATCGAACGCCGCCGCTATGCATGCTTTCTCCCTTTATGACAAGCCCCCAATTCAATCTCGTAGCCACAGGGGTATCATGATTTGACACGGTTTCCCATGCCGCTCTTGAAGCCATCCAAAACCAAGCCCCACTGCCCACCAAGATTCTTCTCGCTCGCGGACTCGCTATGCTTTCCAGTAACAACCTTTCGCATAATCACGGTATCCTTGGCCTTCCGTAGCTTTCGTCCGTCGCCGGTGGTCAGGTATTCGTTAAACCACTGCTCCTCGGCTCCGTCTAGGGGTAGGCTGACGAGTTCGGTGGCTCTTGTAGCAACGTCTTGGCTGCCTCTTCCGTCCAAGACCGCCGAGATGAGTTGATGGAATAGTTGCTGCCGCGCGTTCTCAGGTTGCTTTCGGGAGAAGTAGAATGCTTCTGTGACACTGGTTCTAGCCAATGCGCCGAAGAGGTGCTCAAGCGCGGCGGAGGTCTTGAGAACGGGCTGGACGGTATGGTAGTATGCAAGTGGGAGGCTATAGTCGTTGTTCTCGGCGTGACGGATCAAGACGATGATAATATCATCGGCAAATTCGGGGAGGAGGGAGGGATGCGACAGGCTCTCCAACGCGAGCTACAACATTCTTTAGTGACTGCTAAAGTCAAAAAGGCGATTGCACTGGTAACATACCTGAAACTGATGACGGTCCATGTCCCACAACCCGCGCATGAAGATCTGGTATTTGGTTGGGACGCCTGACCGCGTCGCGAAGCTCTCCGCAGCACTGGAGCGACCCTGCAAACCGAGGCCCTCGTCGAAGTCGAGGAGCAGGTAGAAGAATACGGACAGCTTGTGGTGGCTAGACATTTTGCTCTCGCAGATTTCTCGGTGCAGCGTGTGCAGGCCGCTGTCGCCTTTCGGGGGATATGCCTTAGCTACACAGAGCAACGTTAGCATCTAAACCCATAGTTTCTGACATGGAGAGATATCAATTGCGGCGGATGTATTTACACTTGGTGATTCCCAGTGCCTTCAGCACCCTGTCGATGAATAGGACTCCATTGAAGCTCTTGCGCTGCACCTCGACCTCCCGTACAAAGTCTTGGTCATACGGCGAGCCAAGGTCGGGCTTGAAGACCTCGTGGAATTGGGTGTGGTCTATCATCGTGATGGTGTGTGTGTGCCGTCGGTGGAATAGTCCGTGGCCTACGGTAAACGGGAGCTTCTTCAGAGCTTCAGAGACGACCCGCAAACAAGAAGTACCTGGTAGATGCAAATAAAGCGATACAAGGGAAATATCCCGATGTTGGTGATATTACCGAGAGTAACAGGTATCATTTTTGAGATTATGCAGATTGCGGGGCTGATGCCCAAAACGCGTGCGATAACGATAAGCTTGTCAGCGTTAGCGCGTCATGCGGCTGTGGCTTGATTCGTGGCTCGGGTTTGTTTACAAACAGTGGGGGAAAGCGCAGGGAGCAACACCATCAGTGACCGAGGACTAATACTCGCGCTCGACACAACACACTTGCAGCATAGCCCAGCACAGCGAATGCGGTTCGTCCTATACCGCCACTGCTAGACAACGGATTTCTTAAGTCGAGCTTCTTTCCATCGACGACTTTACTATTCATATTATCTTTCCATACTCAATCCATCACTGACACTGCTTTTGTTCGGCATCACAGACAGACATGGCTTCGCGAACATCCCGCCGCGTTGCTGCGCGGCGGCAGGCGGTCATTGACTCGGACGACGAGATGGCCGATGCGCCTCAGCAGATTGCTGAGGAGAGCGAAGACGATTTTACTCCAGCGCCGGTGCGCAGCCCTCGAAAATCTACAGCAGGAAGGCGAAAGACTTCATCCGAGACCACAGCGGCCCCCGCCTCGCGACGAGCTGGTCGACCACGAAAGAGCGTCGCAAGCGCGAGTGTAGAGCCAAGCGAGAACATAGATCCTGACGAGACCACGATGACCGCGCTGGTCGACCCGGAAGAACCAGTCAAGAAGGCCTCTCCGCGAAAGCGGAAGAGCGTCGCGCCTCGAGCGACAAAGGCGTCAACGCCAGAGTTGGAGCCTCCTGCCATGCCGACACCGCAGCCCTCCATGTCTCCAGAACCATCGGAGTTACAAGCCACTCCACTGGCAGATATCACAACCGCAAGCATCAATGAACAGCGGAGGCCAATCGAAGATACCCTGCTTGCCGTAAAGCCGATCAAGGCTATGGACACGATCCTCGAGAAGCCAATGGACATTGTCCTCAAGTCGCGTACCATGACCGTTCCGATCATTGAGGATGCGACACCAAAGGCGCGAACTGTCATCAAATACCTCATCCTGACAAACTTCAAGAGTTACGCCGGAAAGCAAGAAGTCGGCCCATTCCATGCGTCTTTCTCCTCAGTTGTCGGCCCCAACGGTTCTGGAAAGTCCAATGTCATTGACTCTCTGCTCTTCGTGTTCGGCTTCCGCGCGAGCAAGATGCGACAAGGCAAGCTCTCTGCGCTCATTCACAACTCCGCCCAGTACCCGGACTTGGAATTTTGCGAGGTTGCTGTTCACTTCCAAGAAGTGATGGACCAGGTAAGTTGCTCGACCTTTTCAACCCCTGGCACTATTGCTAATCGCGTGTGCAGCCCGGTGGTGGTCATACCGTGATCCCCGAATCAGATTTAGTCATCTCACGAAAGGCGTTCAAGAACAACTCGAGCACCTACTACATAAATGGCAAGACATCAAATTTCACTACTGTAACAACCTTGCTCCGCGACCGCGGCGTTGACCTCGACCATAAGCGATTCCTGATCCTTCAAGGCGAGGTCGAGTCTATTGCGCAGATGAAACCAAAGGCCGCTAATGAACATGAGGATGGTCTGCTGGAGTATTTGGAGGACATTATTGGCACTTCCAAATACAAGACACCAATCGAGGAATCCGCCACCGAAGTCGAGACTCTCAACGAAATATGTATGGAGAAGAGCGGCCGTGTCCAGCACGTCGAGAAGGAGAAGAACAGCCTAGAAGACAAGAAAGAAAAGGCCCTCGCTTACATTCGCGATGAGAATGAGCTGGCTATGAAGCAGTCAGCTTTGTACCAGCTCTACATCTCCGAGTGCAGTGACAACCTCGCTGTGACCGAAGAGGCCATCGGACAGATGCAGAGCCAGCTTGACGAGGAACTTGAAAAACACAACGGCAGCGAGCAAGTCATCAAACAGCTGCAAAAGACATACTCCAAGAGCAGCAAGGAGTACGAGGCTCAAGATAAGGAGACTCAAGCTCTTATCAAGGAAGTCGCCAAATTCGACCAGGAACGTGTCAAGTTTGAGGAGAAGCGGAAGTTTTTGTCAGACAAGCGTAAGAAGCTCGAGAAGACGATTACCAATGCTGAGAAGACCGCCACTGAGGCCGATGAGACCATTGAGCAGTGTGGCCTGGACATTGAAAGCCGGTCGCAAGAGATCTCTTCTCTTGAGCAACAGGTCAAGGACGAGGAGGCCGAACTCGCCACCATTCGAGACGGCTTGAAAGGCAAAACTCAAGCCTTCTCTGACCAGATCTCGGCCAAGCAAAAGTCACTTGAACCATGGCAAGAGAAGATCAACCAGAAGCAATCAGCTATCGCCGTCGCCGAGAGTGAGCTGACCATCCTTCGCGAGAAGGCCAATGCTGGCGCCGTTGCCCTTGAGGAAACGGAGGCCAAGATATCGACCATTGAGGAGACTCGTGTTGCCAAGGCGCAGGAGCTCAAGGACTGCCAGAAAGAAAAGGCGACTCTTGAGAAAGAGGCTCAAGAGGTTGAGTCAGAACTTCAAGAACTCGCTCAGCAGGAGCCTAAGATCCGCTCCAAGGTGTCAAACGCTAGACAAAAGGCTGACGAAGCGCGCTCAAGCCTCTCTGCAAACCAGACCCGAGGGAATGTCCTGACGGCTCTAATGCGGATGAAGGAGTCTGGTCGTATCGAAGGTTTCCACGGACGCCTAGGAAACCTCGGTACTATTGACCAAAAGTATGATGTCGCCATCTCGACCGCTTGTGGGGCACTCGACAATTTCGTCACCGACACAGTTGAGGCTGGTCAGCAGTGCATTGAGTATCTCCGCAAGACCAACATGGGAAGAGGCAACTTCATCTGCTTGGACAAATTGCGAGTACGCGACATGGCACCCATTCAAACACCAGAGAATGCTCCTCGTCTGTTCGACCTCGTCAAGTCAAAGGAGGATAAGTTCCGGCCAGCTTTCTACCACGCCCTACAGGATACCCTCGTGGCAAAGGATTTAGCTCAGGCAAATCGCATTGCTTACGGTGCCAAGAGATGGAGAGTCGTCACACTCGATGGCGAGCTGATCGACAAGTCTGGTACCATGTCTGGTGGTGGCAGCACTGTCAAAAAGGGGCTAATGTCCTCGAAGCTCGTGGCCGACACTAGCAAGGAACAGGTCAATAAGCTTGAGGGTGATCGTGATGCTCTTGAGCAGAAGTTGCAGGAGTTCCAGGAATATCAACGCGAGCTGGAAACACGCCTCCGCGTGCTCAAGGATAAGATCCCACAGCTCGACACCAAGATGCAGAAGATCAACCTCGAGATCGAAAGCTCAGCCAAGAACCTCGCTGACGCTCAGCGTCGCATCAAGGAGCTTAGCAAGGAGCATCAGCCATCCAAGACCGATGACAATCGCGTCGCGGCTTTGGAAAAGGAAATCGCCAAGCTGAACAAGGAGGTTGAGAAGCTCCACGGCGAGACTGCCAATGTCGAGGACGAGATCAAGGCTCTCCAAGACAAGATTATGGAAGTCGGTGGTGAGAAGCTTCGAGCTCAAAGAGCCAAGGTCGACTCCTTAAAGGAGGAGATCAAGTCACAAAACGAGGAGATCTCCACCGCGGAGGTCAAGAAAGTCAAGGCCGAGAAGCAAAAGGTCAAGCTGGAGAAGGATCATACAAAGGCGACAAAGGACCTCAACGCTGCCGCTCGAGAACTCGAAAAGCTAGAGGAAGAGATCCAAAACCAGGGTGACAAGGCAGAGTCCTTTGCTACCCAGGTTGAGGAGGCTCAAGCTAGCCTGGAGGTCAAGAAGCAAGAACTCGCCGAACTCAAAGCCGAGCTTGACGAAAAGACATCTGAGCTGAATGCTACTCGAGCTGTCGAGATTGAGATGCGCAACAAACTCGAGGAGAATCAGAAGGTGCTTGTGGAGAACCAAAAGCGTCTTCGGTACTGGGAGGAGAAGCTAGCCAAGCTCTCCCTCCAGGACATCAATGATCTCGAAGCAAGCACAGCTCCTAAACCAAGCAACGAAGAGAAGCCGGAGGGCGAGAACTCGAGCGAGGATGTCTCCAACCAAGAAGAACCCGACGCTCCAGAGCCCATGGAGGAGGAAGATGTGGCAGAAACTACGGTCGTCAGAGACCGCAAGGCACAAATGCAACTTCCTACCTACAGCAAGGATGAGCTTGCCGACATGAACAAGGAGACGCTCAAGGGTGAGATCGCCGCTCTTGAAGAGAAGACTCAGAACGTCAATGTCGACCTTGGCGTTCTTGCCGAGTACCGTCGCCGAGTCGAGGAGCATGCTGCTAGGTCTTCTGATCTTCAGACAGCTGTGACCCAGCGTGATGCTGCCAAGAAGCGTTGTGATGACCTTCGCCGCCTGCGGCTTGAGGGCTTCATGGAAGGGTTCAGCACTATCTCTCTACGCCTGAAGGAGATGTATCAGATGATTACGATGGGCGGTAATGCAGAGCTGGAGCTCGTTGACTCTCTAGATCCTTTCTCTGAGGGTATCCTGTTCAGCGTCATGCCGCCAAAGAAGTCATGGAAGAACATCAGCAACCTTTCTGGTGGTGAGAAGACTCTAAGTAGTTTGGCGCTCGTGTTCGCCCTCCATCACTACAAGCCGACACCTTTGTATGTCATGGACGAGATTGATGCTGCGTTGGATTTCCGAAATGTAAGTGGCTCCGTACCAGATCTCCGTTTATCAATCACTAACACTGCTTTGCAGGTCTCAATTGTAGCCAATTACATTAAGGAGAGGACAAAGAATGCCCAGTTCATTGTCATCTCACTTCGAAACAACATGTTCGAGTTGGCTGCTAGACTGGTGGGTGTGTACAAGGTCAACCACATGACGAAGAGCGTCACGATTGAGAACCAGGACTACATAGTCAGGAGAGGTCAGCAGCAACAGCAGCAGCAAGCCGGTCACACTACACAGCTCCCACTGCGATGATTTGTTGGATGATGACAATTTTGTTTCCTTTTTACTCTTTGAATGAATATGTACAGTTAGTGGATGGGACGGTTGGACTACCCTTAATGACACCATGGAATGATATGTCTTTTCTGATATCCCGAAGTGCCTGCCCAATGAAAGAGAGTTAATCCGGCGCTTTAATTACACAGGGTGCCATCCCGGCCCCGGCACTAATTGGAAAGCAATTAAGTATCCGAGACGCACACGCACCCCAGCTCCAGGCGCCGTTGGATGTTCTAGCGACCATCCTGGCTGTCCGGCATGCAACTGCATCTGCAAGCGTCATCTCTCTAACCTGGATTCTGGGGAAAGGAGCTTTCCCCAGTCAGATGAGGTATGCATAGAAATAACGTTAAAGAGCCTGAAACATCATCATTCTGCGCAAGAGAAAGCGATTGTTTGGACCGAGAACATTGCCCCCACATTCCGTCTCGGTTCGCAGATCTTGGTGCCGGCACTCAAAGCGAACGAGGAAGCGATGCTCTCGCCATTGTGTCTGCTCGCCTCGCTCGCCTGGAGCTCTCTCCAATGCATGCTCGCTAGCGCGCCCACATGCTGTGATATTCTGATCTCTTAGCGATATCAGATCGCCTGGTCCATACGACGTGACGCGGGGTTTCCCATATTAAGGGGAAGGTCGTCGACCGCGTTGGCCACGCGGCCCCTCTAGGCTCTGGAGCCTTGGTGCCCTGGATCCAGCCACGATCGTGACGGACCGAATATGGGAAAACTCCTCGTTGCTTCCGGTGCGGTACCGTGTGTTTTGCCTAGACTTTCTTGTGATAACGATCAACGAGGGAGAAAACAAGCATTCGGAGATCCGAGCTTGCGCTCCGATCATTCGATGCTCCCGGGATATGTCTGCCCATAAGTAGCGGTCGGATCGCATCCGGCTGGGTCCCTGACGATGCTTGCTTCCTGTGGTCTACCCGGCCCAACACTCTTGTTTAAGTCTCGTCATCCAATTGCCCGGATAAGGTACACAAGATGCGTCAACCCCGAGCGTCTTTCGTCCTCTTCCTAGCGACCACCATTCATGGTATTGGTGCAGCTTGTACCGTCGATGTCTGCAGCAAGGCCTACATTCAGTCAGCTCTCCCAGCCAATGGCTTCATTGATGGCGTCACGCTGTCGCCGGACTCAGTCACTGCCAACTCCGTCAAGAATTACAGCGTTGCAGCATCCTCGGAGACTCCGGCCGCGCAAGGACTGGACTTTTGCAATGTGACGTTCTCTTACGGCCATGCAGGATTGGGCGATACTGTATGTTTACACGTGTAAGCCATAAGCGGTGCTAACTGTTCACAGATCAACCTCTGGTATTGGCTACCCACTCACGCGCAATGGAAGAATCGGTATCTCTCGACTGGCGGCGGCGGTCTTGCCATCACATCCGGCCAGCGCGGTCTCACTGCCGGCCTCCCGTACGGAGCTGTGACAGGCACCACAGATGGTGGCTTTGGAGGTTGGAGCGCAGAGCTCAGCGACGTGCTTCTTCTCGCCAATGGAACCTTGAACTATGACATGCTCTTCAATTTCGGCTACAAGGCCATCCACGAGATGAGCGTGCTGGGCAAAGAGTTCACGCGCAAGTACTACAACACGTCCGACTTCTACTCCTACTACGAGGGCTGCTCCGAGGGCGGTCGCGAGGGATGGAGCCAGGTGCAGAGATACGGCACACAGTTCGACGGTGCGGCAATTGGGGCGCCCGCCTTTCGACAGGCATTCCAGCAAGTAATCCACCTGTTTGAAGGATTGGTCGAGCTTACCAACGGGTATGCCCCGCCGCCGTGCGAGCTAGACCAGATCAACAACGATACGATTGCGGCTTGTGATGGGCTAGATGGGCGCATTGATGGGGTCGTTAGCCGGACGGATCTCTGCAAGCTTCATTATAACGCCAATGCCAGTATTGGAAATAGTTATAGTTGCGCTGGGACGGGTGGTGGAGGCTTTGGGAAGCGGCAAATGGGCGGCAGTCCATCACCTGCTGTCAGTGGAACAGTCACAGCCGAGGCTGCGAAGATTGCGAATGAAATATGGAAGGGCCTGTTTGATTCCAAGGGTCGCCAAGTATACGTCTCATTCCAGCCATCCGCCACCTTCGCCGACGGTGCCACGACATATAATGCGGCGACTGGCGAGTATGAGGTTGTGGCGAGCGGGATCGGTGTCCAATACGTGAACCTGTTCTTGAAGGAGATCAACTCGAGCTCGCTGTCTTTGACAAATGTCACCTACGATACTCTCCGGGCCTGGATACTGGAGGGAATGCAGAAGTTTGCGGATACTTTGCAGACGACCTGGCCTGATCTCGAGGACTTCCATAACGCTGGAGGCAAGGTAATTCACTACCACGGTGAATCGGACAATAGCATTCCTGCAGATTCGTCCGTCATCTACCACAATTCTGTCCGGCAAATCATGTACCCAAAACTCGGGTTCAATGAGAGCTTCGATAGTCTGCACGAGTGGTACCGGTTGTTCCTTGTGCCAGGAGCAGGACACTGCGGTCCGAGCACGCAGCAGCCGAATGGGCCTTTCCCTCGAGGGATTCTGGGGAGTCTTATTGACTGGGTGGAGAATGGAGTGAATCCAGAGAAGCTCAATGCAACGGTCATTGCAGGTAATACGACGGATGTCGACCAGAAGCTTTGTAGCTTCCCACTACGACCGTACTGGAGTGATGACGAGACAATGGAGTGTGTCTACGATCAGGAGTCAATTGACTCTTGGCTACCAACACTAGATTCTATTCCTCTCCCGGTATATTAGCTTCTGATAGCAAATCTAATCATTGAAACTTCACCTCTTGGGTTGTAGATCGCCGTGCAATCTATCTCTGGTTGATATTTCAATTTTTTTATGTAAAATTTCCTGTGCCGGCACTCAGGTGGACAGACTATACAGCGTCGGCGACTATTTTTTGCAAGTACTCTATAGCTTTAGACTGCCTTCCAGTGATGATGTTAATGAGAGAAACCACGTCCGTGGTTTCGGAGTTTGTTGTCCAGCCGTGAGGATAGGCTCCGTAAATCTCCGGCCCACCGTTTAGCTTATGCTGTTCTCACAATTACCCCTGCAGCTAGATTCTCACAATAGCTCACTGCCTCGGACTATCCCACCTTATTTGAGGTAATACATACCTAGGTATGATGTCGATAACTTGGCTTATTTAGTTTTGTGTTATTGTTACCTTGATGGTGATTTGAGACACGAACTTAACTAGACTAGGCGTTTCCCCCTTTCAGCCAAATCCGCGCCTCAGGCAAAACAGAGTTGACTCGGTGCGTGAGTCTTAGACGCTAGGCTAAAGATAGTTAGTTCCCAGCTAGTAAATCCCATCCAATCACTGAACTCATGAACCTCACACCTTCATTCCGCCTAGATTTATTATACTCTCACTCTGTTGATTTCTCCTGCTACTTGAGGCATAAGCCAGATCTCGAATTTTACTAAGATACGAATGGTCGAGGAAAGTGATGCTTGAGATGGAGGAAAAACAGAGCCCGCCACCGAGAAGAGCCAGGCGGCGCATTCTCTCCTGCGAAAATTGTCGACGACTGAAGAGTCGATGCGAGTATGATCCTCGTATAAACGCTTGCCAGAGGTGCCATAAACTTAGGTTCGTGTTGCGTGTTAGTAAGATGATGAGTAAGTGCTGATGTGTAAAGAATTTACTGCTCTCTGCACTCAGCTAGCCACATTCCAAGGACTGCACCCAGCAGCAAGGATCGTGCTCAAGACGACATCGCCGAAGACAGGTATGTCTTGTCTATACGAGAGATCTATGATGAACTCAGCTCACACCGTTGCAAGAATTGCCAATGTCGAAAATTCGTTAGCTTCAGTGAAAGAGTCTGTGGACAAGATTTGGATGTTCCTTCAACAAGATGGAAACCGTCCATTGAATCTTGCCAATGGCCCATTGATACATAATGCCGATCGTTCCATGGAGAAAATCTCAGGGCATCGCCAGATACAACAGTCTGAGTCCGCGGAGTTTCCTCCATTACACCCGGCTCAAGGTGACCTGAATAAATCGGCACCTATTATGATCGTTCGAAAATTTCGCTCTAGCGCGCGACGGCTCTACGAGAACCCTGGGGAAGATATTGTCAGCAAAGGCATTCTTAACGAGGATGTTGCTGAAAGGCTCGTTTCAGAGTATGTACTCATGTCTTGAGTTCTGTCAGGAGTTCTAACTCGCTGCTGCAGGTTCATCCTTCGCCTCGGTCATGTTATCCAGGTTAAAACGTATAATGACCTCACTACTACGTCGTCCATTCGACAAGCTTCCCCTCTTCTGTACGCTGTCTGTTGCCTCCAGGCCATACGTTTCTTCAAAGACACTGATCTTGTTGATACAAATGACCATCGTCAATTATACGAAGAGGTTAGAAGGATGCTCGGCCAAGTTATCCTAGCTAGTCCAATACCGCTTGAAGAGTTATACGCTATGCTGATCATGTGCACATTTGAAGCAGCACCAAGAGTAAGTCTTCAAGAAGAGTTATTCCAACATCTGAGCTAACAACTTCCAGCCTGTCTTTGAGTACATAGAGAGCTGGCATTTGAGTGGGATCTGCGCACAGCAAGCCATATCCACCATCGACTTCGCAGAAATCATAGCAAATTTGAGCCTCGGGAAACATGAGATCAGAGACAAGAGATGCTTATCCTTGTGGAATAATATCTGCTTGGTCAATCTTAGGTACCGGGCTCAGAGAATATGACGAGAATTCCCTGAAACTAACGCGGCATAGATTTGCTGTGGGCACTGGAAAGCCTGCGACCATACCCTCTGAGCTCTTAGACCAATGTTCTGCAATTCTGAATCACCCTCAAGCGACGTTTGAGGACGGCGTTGTGCTGGCAGAAACACTTCTCTTTTCTACACTATGTAATAAACAAGCACCCCCTATGCTTGATCGATACGGCCAATGTCCGGAGTTAACTGCCTGGGAGAAGAGATGGGCGCATCTACTCAGTGGGTCAGCTGTCAGTGCGGTATCCTTCATGATCTAATATATGCCCTTAGAATCGGACAATGCTATTTATCTGAGGTTTGGTCGCGAGTTTGCATATCTGGTCCTGGCGATGAGACTCGTGGACAAATCTCGTTCGAGCGGAGTAATCCAAACCAGCTTCCAAGCTGATCCCAGCTCAAAATACCAATCAGCCATGGCAATCAACAACGGTGATGAGGTTGACAGTACCATTCTATCCGATTCTTACCAAGCATGCGCACATAAACATGCTCATGCTATGGCCCGCTTATTTTTGAAAATGCCGACTGCTCTCGTCCAGGAACTACCTAAATTTCATCACATTTGTATTGCGTATTGCTCTATTGTCCTTTCTGAATGCGCTGATAAATCTGGCATTTCTCATGAAGAGGTGTATGAGACACTCTCGGACGTCTGTGTGCACTATCGCCGGTTTTCTGAGGAGCTACCGGCGGTGATGAACGTAGCACTTGAAAAGATGCGACTTAGCCTCGAAGGAAATGCAGTCGGCAAGGTCGCAAAGCAAACACAGAGTCAATATACAGCTCTTCCCATTGAGCAGACGACTGATATATCTACGGTGTTGGATGAGCCCAGTCACAGAATTGAAGGCATTGTCACATCAGAACAGGGACTCAACACTGAATTCTTTGATAATGGGCTGGGACTATTGTCATTTCCGACAGTAGACGATTTCTTCGGCAGCTGGATGATGAATGTTGGCAATGAGTAGGCTAAAATCCGCTTTATCAATGGCTTCAATTTATGCTCTACCTATGTGATTTTTAAGACACATCGGCTGGCCAGCACAGCCACGTAGCTGATACGGCATACTTCAAACCAGCTGCGACGAAGAATACTGCCGGTATGCCTGCCTGGCTCTTAGATAACCACCCGCCACATATTGCGCCCAGCAAAAGCGCACAGACTGCTCCTATACGTCGATTCCGAGGAGCGTTGGATTTCAAAGCTTGCATAAACTTTGCATCCGCGGCTAAGCCGAAGTATACACTGGTCAATACTGTCGTTGGGATCTCTTTGAATCCTAGAACTTCACTTGTCCAGACTTGTCCCCCCGCCTGCAGACCCAGAAAGACAATAGGCACCAGCACCTTCATCGAACTTGAACCTTCCGTCACATCTGGAACAACTTTTGTTTGAACAAGCACAGCAGCTACCGTAAGACATATTGCCTGCAATACGAAAGATAGTGAAAGCATGCCTCGACTTCTAGGTTTGCCCTTTCGCATCCGTGAGAACAGAAAACAGCCGATGAGAAATGTGACAATGGCCATGAGCGAACGAAGCCAGCCATATGGCTTTGTAGCTGGGAGCCCAGCTGCACCAAGACCGAGAAATATGGTATTGCCTGTGGGTTTGTCAACTTCGGGCTCAATACATAATGTTGTCTCCTGATCATACCGGTTTGCATGCAAATAAAACAACTCCATGCATTGAATGCACCACTGTCGCATAGCCCTGATATAAAACTACATATCAACAAGACTACATCAGAATGCCGACGATCGATGTCTTGCTGCAGCCATGTTCTTAGACGACGTTGTCTCGGGTTGCTCGTCGTGTCGTTTTCTGCGCTGCCCTTTTCGAGGTCAGTTTGAGACATCTCAATTGTCACTGGTGACATGCCAGGTCGAGTAAGGCGACATGAATGCAGCCCAAATGTTCTTCATAGCGAGTTTGAGTCTCAGCAACTCCTCACATTTTGAATGGCGAGGTCGTCATTACTGTGACAAATGGAAAGGTGCTGCTACCGATTACCGACTAACTCCGGCCAAATCCTGCCATATCCGGGCATTACCGGTCATCGCCTGGCGAAGGCTTGGCGCTGACATCAACACCTTCCCCTAGGCATTCACTAACATCCTCGTTATGCCACACCTAATTAAGCCTGAAAGATTTTTCTCTGCCCATTAGTATTATCGATACCAAATTCAATTGCACAATTCATTCCACGAGGGTTCTTCTCCTCAGACCTAGCGATATTACGCGAATCTATGTTTAACTATCTAATATTACGGACCCAATCCCTAAACTGGAACTGCAAAAGTACTTTCCACCTCAACAATGTCGTCCTAGAGGATCTCGTTTAGAACAGGGTTGGCAGATCTAGAATGGTCTGTGCTTACCTGATTGAGTCTCGTCACCTCCACAATGGATCGAGGCGGAAAGGGGACATCGCCCCATATCTCCTTCTGTGCTTCGTTTACCAATGGCCTGTACTGGGGCATGTCCGTAGTATAGCTAATGAGCTGTCAATTAGTTTCTTGTAGGATGAACTCAGGTAGGTACATACACTACCAGACGAAGACAGTCGCCTAAAGTTGCCCCGGCAGCTTCGATAATCATTTGCATATTCTGAAATGCTGATAGGACGTTAGAGTGTGGCGGCTTTGTATTTGTCGCCGAAGAGCCTCACCTTTCAAAACACGAGGGTAGGCTGGCGATTCCTTAGGAGAGTTCCCATGATTGATAATATTCTGGATTGGGATGAGCTCCGAAGTCTCAGGGCAAATACCGCGCAGACCTGTATTTATAAGCCTCATCGGATTTGCGAAGATCAAGTAAAGACAAACCCGATATGTAGAGCGTATTTCCGCGTTTGCTCATCATGGACCATGTCCCCGTAGGGTTGTAGCTAACTTGGTCAGCTATTGCCACCAATAGACAGAGCCTGTAAACCTACCACCATGAAGGACTGAATAGTTGCACTCCTTGCGGAGAGACATAATCAGGGCTCCCAAGCTGGTGGGCCATTGTCCATCTAACAGTCTTGTGTTGTGTTAACGTTGGGGTCTTAGAAATGTTCACTTTGTGTTGTCACTGAAGAATGATCCAGTGGTACATGTTCCAGGTATTTGGTGCAGTAAACCCGAAGACTTGGTAGGATGCTTGATTGGCAGGGCACCACGTCTTTACTGTGCCCAGAAGCCAATCAATGAAATAGGGTGACTGAAGCGCTTGTATGCCACGCCATCGGCCACTAGAGCTAAATTGACTCGCGATGAATTAGCTACTTCACATCGGCCCACCTAGCGGAGGCCAAGCGGGTCATCCAGAGCTTCTTATCATTGACTACACGAGAATGATTGGCTTAGAACTGTAAGGCTGATAAGAGACCGTAAACCGTCGGTTACCGGACGCGACATGGTATTTTGGCCTTGCTGCGATTCCTTCTGAGGCGGTCTTGCTATCTAGGACCTTGGATTTGATGTTGGATATAAGATCAAGCTCAGAAGTCCCTGAGCTGGTAAAATGTACTCTAAACCACAGGTAAATCTTGTAAAGTTTGACTGCCATCATGGGCGCCTCACGACAGGATGACTTCGACGTTATGCCGAACAAGGAAGCGCTCGCGCCGGACAATGCAGCCAGTCCAGTTGAAAAAGGCGAGATAACTATCGACAAAGGCACTGCTTTACATCGAGGCCTAAGATCTCGGCATACTACCATGATTGGTGAGACATGGTCAGCTTTTGTGTTATGAGTACTCCATCGACTAAAAGTTCTGTTCAGCCTTGGGTGGTGCATTAGGATCAGGCCTGATTATTGGAACAGGCTCCGCGTTGGCAACTTCTGGGCCGGCTGCCGTGCTCATCTCATATTCAGTTGTTGGCTTCGTCGTATGGCTGATGTTGACTGGTCTGTGTGAAATGGGAACCTATCTCCCTATTCCTGAAGGGTTTACCGGCTACGCCTCTCGATTTGTTGATCCCGCGCTGGGCTTCTCGCTTGGATGGGTGTAAGTTCTTCATCTTGAGTACATCTTGCCGCGAGATAGACTGACGGCGGGCTGGCCAGATATTGGGTCAAATATGCGATTTCGACCCCAAATCAACTAACAGCCATTGCCTTGGTCCTTCAATATTGGGTCGACCGCGACAAAGTCAACCCTGGAGTATTCATTGCAGTGTTCCTAGTGGTCATTATCTTGGTCAACTATGTTGGCGTACGATTCTTTGGAGAATTCGAATTCTGGCTATCGTCTTTGAAGGTGCTGATACTCTGTGGCGTCATTATTCTTTCATTCGTCCTCGCCTGTGGTGGCGGCCCCGATCACGATGCTAAAGGCTTTCGATACTGGCATGATCCGGGTGCCTTCAACGAATTCCGAGCAAAAGGGGCTACAGGACGCTTTCTTGCTGTGTGGAACAGCGTTGGAACAGCAACTTTTGCCTATCTATCCACTGAGTTCATCGGAGTGACAGTCGGCGAGGCTCAGAATCCTCGCCGAACCATCCCCCGGGCGGCACGGATGATTTTCTATCGTATCTTCTTCTTTTACATTCTAAGTGTTTTCTTCTTAGGCATGAATGTTCCATACAACTCCAAGGAGCTTGCATTCGCCACAAAACAGTCAACCTCTGCCGCAGCATCACCTTTCGTTGTGGCTATTGTGCTCGCCGGCATTGATGTGTTGCCTGGCATCTTGAATGGCTGCATCCTTGTCTTCGTCTTTTCAGCTGGTATCTCGGACCTGTACATCTCTAGCCGTACGCTTTATGGTTTAGCTCGCGATGGCAAAGCCCCAGCTTTCCTGGCTAAGACGGATAAGAGGGACATCCCTGTGCCAGCACTGGCTGTGTCCGCGGTGCTGTCTCTGTTAGCTTTCATGAATGTTTCGAACGATTCGAAGACGATATTCACTTATTTCATCAACTGTATCACTGTTTTTGGTTTGATCGTCTGGGTTTGTATTCTGGCATCTCACATCAACTTCATCCGCGCCTGTCGATTCCAGAACATTCCTGAGGGCCACCTGAAGTACCGTGCACCCTTGGGTATATGGGGCTCATGGGGTGCTCTGGCATTTTGCGTTCTCGTAACTTTTACCAAGAATTTTGCGGTGTTCGTTTACAACCCGGCGACGGGTCAGCACTTCGACTACAAGAACTTCATTACCGGCTACATCGCCATTCTGGTGTTCCTGGGTGCCTTTCTGGGCTATAAAATAATTTATCGGACCCAATTTGTCAAGTTGGTAGATGTGGATCTTCATTCCGGTCTTGATGAAATTGAGTTGCATGAGATGAAATTTGAAGCTGCGGAAGCGGAGAAACTGGCAAACCAAAAACCCCTGAGCCGATTCTATCGCCGCTACGTGTCTTGGCTCTTCTAGGCGTCTTCGATACATAATGGTTGGACATATAATGGAATATTACGAGTAATTATGCTTTACTGAAACCTTTATCGATATGTGTTTGTCGTATTTGCTTCGCAGATATCTCTGCCGAGTCGCATTGGACTTCTTCAATGCATTACGCTTGAAGTATTGGGGCACTCTGTAGATCGAAAACTAAGCGTGCTTGATGGTCCGTCTATACTTGCATAACTGAAGAAACTCGATAATGGATTCGCGTAGAATGATTCAACAACGTATCCTTCATGAATTCAATATTTATGTCAGCATCTAATCCCACTTCAGAAGAGATCATCATCGCTTATTGCGACATTTCTTAACGAGAGGCCGTCTCCATCTCATTACGTCGGTCAAATTTCTTCTCCTTGTGTGACTTGTACCTCTGTGCGTGATTGGCACCTAACATTATCCCTCTAGCGACCACAGCAACAGCCGAAGCAGCAGGAGAGGCTGCTTGAGCCGCGGCTGTAATTCCACCGCCCATCGCCAGTCCACCGCCTGCCGTACGCGCAACTTCCAAGCGGTCTTCCTTGAGGAATTCCTGAACACTTCTCCCGTAGCACGAACGGCGCTCCCTAGTTGGTCACTTGCGTAGTGGGTGATGGCTTTGGATTTCCGTTGAGCAGACCTGGCCACTTCTCTGGAACCTTTGCTAGCAGAGTTTTGCGACGTTGGCCCACTGGGGACTGTGGGAAGAGGAAGGGAAGACCCGTGGTGGGTATGTGTGTTCATATGCTGAGGCGACTACTCCGTCCTCGGCCGGTTTGAAGCGCTCGTCAACTTGCGTGGCATCCTCAAATCTCGTTTGAAGTAACCCATTATTCTAGTTGACAGATTGATCTTGGTCGGTTATGTCTGGAGGATCCTGGTCAAGGTAAGCCTGACCGTAGCGATAGTCGGGAATATCCGTTTTGGTGTCGTTTATCATGGTTGCTAAATTGGAATGAGCGCGTTAATTTGGTATAGACAACGATACGCACATGATTAAGACTAGTTACCCAGATATGACCAGACGATAGAGATTGAGAGCTTTAAAGCTCATTTAATCTTGAGGCCTTGGTCACAGCCACGACGTTGCCGTGGTACGATGTAATTGGGTCCAGATACACAATGACAAGGCGACCAATAATAGAGAGTGTCAAAATCCACGTCAAAAGCCAAACAACCCAAGCGCGTTCGCGAAAAAGAGCACATTGTGCGGGATAGCGTCTATTACTTCTTGAGATTTCGGCGGTGCCGAAAGGCAGTCACAGAGTTCTCCTCTGCGATAATGCCAAAGAATGGCTAGATCAGACCATAGATTTCTAGTGAAGGTAGATAAAGAGTGGTGCTAGCTTTTAGCGAAGAGGTAAAGTTAGACTTTACTCTCTAGTTCCTCGAGGCGTATAGCAAGCAACCCGGCTTTCCAGACCGAAACCAGCCCTTTCCAAAGACCAGATATATCTTCCTGAATGGAACCTTTCACAAGAATCAAGTCGGCTCGTTTGCCTTCTTCAACCACTCCTAAATCATGGAATCCAAATCTTCTAGCTGAGACGGCGGTAGCAGAACTTAGAGCCTCCTCAACGCTCAGTCCGCATCTTTCCACAAGCATGTATAGCTCTTGCCACATGCTCGGGCCTACTGCAGTCCCTTTCAGGCCGGGTATACTGTCAGTTCCCGCAACGATGTCAATGCCTGCTTGCTTAAGTCGACGAATACTCTCGTATGCATTTTCAATCCGAGCTTCAGATGCACCTGCAGATATAGTCTGCGCCATGACACTCCTCGTGAAGTCATCCGCAAGACCAGGCAAAGACGAAGCTACCGCCACAAATTGATTTCTCAATTCATGCTCTTCGTTGGTGAGGCTACTTAGTGTCACGAGTGTGGGTATGACAAATGCCCCCTTTTCTTTATACAACTCGATAATGGCATCGGTTGGTGCTTGGTCAACGAACGTATGTGTTACTCCATCGCAGCCGGATTTTAGGATAACCTCCGTGCTTACAACGCTTGTAGCGTGGCCTACTGCAATCATGTTCTTAGCGTGTGCAGCTCCGACAATGACTGCTTGTAATTCCAGAGTTGCGCTTGGAAATGAGCCTGTTGGTAACGCCAGGGAGGTGCAATCTTCTTGCATCAGCTTGATATAGTCGGCTCCTTGTATCTCGTGTTCTTGAATGAAGTCCTTCACATTATCCAAGGTCAGGTTTGGCCACTTCGAGACTCGATGTCGAAGCTAATGCGCTGTAAGCTTCGTAGAATTGGAACAAAATTTTGTCCTCACCTCCTCCGATGGCTCGTGACTTAATACAAACGGCTTTGGGTGACCAGATTCTATTGTGGCCCCTAGCAAGGAGCTCTTCAAGTCGGCCATCGTGACTCGGCCATTTCTGCCGCCGGCTCGGGCTTGTATTAGATCTTCTTCCACGAGGCGCCTGAACTCGTGAACAATATCAGGATCTGAGTGCATATCGCAGACCGTTGTTACCCCACATTGGAGCGGATATGTAAGGAGCGACCAATTATCGCTACCGGAGGGCATATGAACTTCATAGCAGTGTATATGACCGTCGATGAGACCTGGTAATATGCTATGCCCTGTGCCATCAATTATGGTAGCATCCGGGTGCTTCTCTATGTATTCTGTACTGTCTCGAGACTTGAGCACCTTGGTGATGATTCCAGTCACTGAATCAAAAGCGATAAGAGAATTGTGGTGAACTGTTGTCCCGTCAAAGAGCGTGACATAGTTGACAATTGTGAGCGACATTTTACATCAGCTTAGGGACGAGAACAAGAGATAGAAATCAAGGCATGAAAGTTAAAATTCATGAACAAGGACAGAGGTAATTGCAAGAACTTTTATTGTTGCTGGACCGGACGTCCGAGGTTACACGACATTTTCGTGCGCCTCCCGGATTTCTTTTCGGGTAATTTGGTAACACAGCAGCTTGGCCCGCCCATTCCCTATAATTAGCACTGGCTTGACAATCCCGCTATTATATATACCAGCCAGGATATGCGATAAATCTCTCCCCAGAAGAGTTCTAAGCTATTTAGAAATTTGAGTGGAATGAAGGGTTAGACCATCGAGGACGCTGATGTGAAATTGATCATCCTCATATCATGAACATTCGTTTATGGGTAGTCAACTGCAGCAACGCGATTCGGGTTGTTGGGAATCATGAGTGGTAGAGGGTTATTCCATCTCAGGAACTTTCTTCCTGCCCATACGTCTTCCACTGGTAGCATCTGAGGTGCCAGCCGTGCCGCCACTTCTTCATTCTGTCGCCAGACTCTATAAGAGTATTAGCGATGAGTGATACTGGAAATTCAGCTGTGTGGCTTATCTTACCGCAGAATGTTCTCGCCAACGAGTTTTCTGACTTGTTCGTCCGTCGCTCCACGCCTCATGACAGCTTGTATAAGCTTAGGATAGTCTGATACTGAATTGATGCCATTGGCAAGCGTCACTGTCCCATCAAAGTCGCCTCCGATGCCTATGTGGTCCCAACCTGCCAATTCAACCACGTGCATGATATGATCCACTACAGTCTCGATGTCCGCAGCTTCTGGGTTCTTGGCATTGAGGAAGCGCTTCACAAACATCACCATGAGCACGCCGCCATTGTCCTTCAACCGCGCAATGACATCGTCAGGGGCATTGCGGTAGTTGGCAGCGAGTCCGTAACAGGAGCTGTGACTGAATATGACGGGCGATGTGGTTATGTCCAATATCTGCCGCATGGCGCGATGAGAGGTATGGGCGAGATCGATCATCATGCCGAGTCGATTCATCTCTCGAATTCCAGCCGCCCCGAACTCGGTAAGGCCGGCATCTTCACCGGTTGCTGTGACCGTAGATGCTGCCGTTGCGTACGGGTTGTCACAATTATGGGTGATTGTAATATATCTCACACCAAGATCATACAACTGTCGGAGTACTGCTATTGATGACCCTGTCTGGTGCAAACCTTCTGCGCCGAGCATTGACGCAACCTTCCCGGACTTGAACGCCGAAGTAACGCATGCTGAAGTATCGCAATATTGAAATTCTTCAACTTCCGAAATAAATCTTCGTGTCACGTCAACTTGTTCTAATGTGTCACGGACACTATATGTAGGATCATCGAGGCTTTCGTCAGGGCATTCGACAAATACGGACCAAAATTGACCACCCACTCGGCCCTCTTTCATGCGAATGAGGTCAGTGTGCCCGGCAAGACCTAGCAAGAGTTAGAATTAGAGTTCGGGCCGAGACCATGAGGGGTTGTATCAATACCATGACGGAATGTGAAGGTGCTGTTGTCATATATCTTGTTTTGAAGCTCAATACGTAGTAAGTAGGGGAGATCATTGTGTCCATCAATGAGGGGAGTGGTGCTCAGGATCCTCTCCGTCCTCAACGCGTAGTCTGTCGGATCAACGGCCTGCTTGCCGACACCTGTATAACTAGCAATCGCTAATATAATGCCAGCTACAGCTGCAAGTATCCCTAGTGTGGGCACAGTTCGCCCCTTTTGCTGCCCTGCTCCTTTACTGCTTCCGGAGCCCTGTTGCAGCACCATCTTTGTCTTGCGAAATTTGCAGGCCGCTTAGCAAAGCCAGAAGCAATAATGACGTATTTCCGCTCTTCGGCCTTCAGCTTCACTTTAGCCAGGGGTATGTCGTCTCCTTTCCAGCAACAGTACTTTCATAGAGACATCTGGTGGCTGATAAGTTGCCAGAATTGTCGTCCCTGGCCAGGTTTAGGAGGATGGGTGGTGCCAATTGGCCGCCTTAGCCGATCGGGAGCTTACCGATGAGATCGGGATTTCCAGTGAGCTTATCGCCCCGGCGCACAGCTCCACAGCCGGCACTAAGCCGGACTCACTAGGTGCTTATCACGGCAGTGGACCTAAATGTGGGAATTGGCGGGGGGAGGAACGAGTAAACACACCGTAAACCGGACTTGTTAGCCCGCGATAAGTCGAAGGATCATGGCCCTGATCGACATCGTCGGGGCCGCTGCCCAATGAACAGCACCGCAATCTACGTCCGTCGGCCAGAGCCCTCGATAACTCGATAAAGACAAATCTGAAAGAGTAAGGGGTAACGCCGCCAGCCAGCGGTGCTGCTTCCGAATGCCGATGTTGCTTGGCACTGCTGTGTTCTTATGTCTTGCAACGCCCCCAAGCGACGCCGTTTCGGCGCTCTCGATAATCTGGTAGAGAGGGCAATCGCCAAGGTTCAATTGCGAAATAAGGAAGCACAACATGACTGCAACAGACGTCGAAAATGCTGCGGCACTCGCTGCTAAGCGACCCAGCGTCTCGGGTGACGAACCAGTTGACAATGAGATCGACACTGCCAAAGGGGTTTTGGCCGACCTTCCAGCATCGATGAGTATAGACCCAGTTGCTGAGAGGAAGCTGCTATGGAAGTTCGATCTGCGCATCTTGCCAACATTGGCGGTCATGTATCTGTTCAACGGCCTTGACAAAGGCAACATGGGTAATGCAAAGACCGCAGGCCTAGAGGAGACTCTTGGTCTCAAGGGGAATCAATACAACATCCTGCTATCAGTAAGTGTATCTATGCTATCTGCCTGACCATGTTGGCTAATGCGTTGCAATAATTAGGTCTTCTTCATTCCTTATGTCTTGTCCGCTCCTTTTTTGGGAATTATCGGAAAGAAATTTGGTCCTTCTCGCGTGCTGCCATGTATGATGTTTTTGTACGGTGAGTACGACTTGCTCAACATCGTCCAGTTCTATGGCTAAACGACTATTTCCTAGGCTCCATGACACTTCTGACAGCGGCGGCTAAGAACTTCGGAGGACTCTTTGCCCTGCGTTGGTTTGTGGGAGTAGGAGAAAGTGCATTCTTCCCCCTTGTGATCTATTACCAGGTAATATACCTCTTTGAGTTCAATACTGCAACATCTAATCATCCGCTAGACTACATTTTATCGACGTGGTGAACTCGCAAGACGCCTTGCGATTTTCTACGCTGCCTCTGGTATCGCAAACGCTTTCTCCGGACTACTTGCTTTTGGAACGTTCCAGATACGTGGAGGAGCTTTGGCGCCATGGAAGTACCTCTTCGTGGTTGAAGGTATGTTGTCATTTTTGCCATCGCATATTTGGCCTGTCTAACCCCCCTTTTAGGGGCTGGCACTGTGTTGATGGCAATCTTCGCCTTCTTCTACCTGCCTTACAATGGTGCCACTGCCCATTTCCTCAGCGCCGAAGAAAAGGAGCTCGCCCATTATCGTCTACAGATGGACTCCTCTTCCGTTGTCAATGAGAAGTTCGTGCTGCGCGATGCCGTCTCCATCTTCCGCCAGCCTACTACTTGGGTAGTTCTCATCATTGAGATGTGCGTTGGTGTACCCCTTCAGTCAGTCAACCTGTACCTGCCCGTCATTATCAAGCGGCTAGGCTACAGCACGATTAAGACCAACCTCTACACGGTCGCACCAAATGTCACCGGCTCCGTGATGCTACTCTTGCTGGCATTTAGCTCCGACTTCACACGACTGCGGTTCCCGTTCGTCGCGCTGGGCTTCACCTTCACGCTGACTGGATTCATTATCTACGCCTGTGTGGATGTCGTTAGCCAGTTGCACGTGGCATACTTTGCATGCTTCATGATGTGCTGGGGTACCGCAGCTCCATCGGTCCTGCTTGACACTTGGTTTAACAATAACATTGCCAATGAGAACAAACGAGTGATGCTTACCACCGTGGCGGTGCCGGTAGCGAACATCATGGGTCTGGTGTCGTAAGTACTTTCCTCTCCACTTACAAGAAGATGACGACTCACATCGTTTTAGATCGAACATCTTCGTGAACAAAGATGCCCCGAAGTATTTCCCGGCCTTGATCACTACAGCCTGCTTCGGTGCCACAGGACTAGTGCTTACACTGTCGCTCGGCGCGTGGATGATTTTCGACAACAAGCGACGCGATGCGAGAGATGGGAAGACGATGTCGGCGAAGGAGATTCCGACCGAACTTCTTGCCGAGGGTCCTAGCAGCCGGAACTACAGGTGGCACCTGTAGATTCTCGATGCGTGCATGCAACCGGACGGCTGAGATCACCAATCTTGCCATCATGCTCATGTATGAGCAATAGATACATCTTCGGCGGCTGTCATTCTACTGCCTCGCTGACACTGCATTTACATTTAAACATTGATTAGCATTAGAGCATTATGTACTGATCTATATCTATCGTCATGTATTATGTCCCGTTCCATATGTGCAGTGACACAAGGTCTCCGTAATCCCACGCCAATCAAGACAGTACATAAGATATCAGCGCCAAAGCTGTCAGTCCTTGCCACTGTAAACCCGACGCAAGAATGCCCGCGCCATTGTCGTTTCCGCACGGGTTAGTGGCGTTGCATGTGCTGCCAGAGCTCCCCGAGCCCGTCGAGCCGGAGTTGCCAGAGTAGGTCGGCGTGTTGCCAGTCGCGTTGCCGCCTAGATACCAGCTTCCAATATCCGTCAACCTGCCATAGTCGTCGATCATAGTGACATTGGGTCCCACGTTGGATACATCAGCCCGGAAAGAGCCAAAGTAGGAGTATCGCTCAACAATATCGGACTCATCCAAGTATTTCAATGATTCGTTGAAGAAGGCTTGTGTCGTCGGGAGATCGGCGTTGTCCAGCGCGTATTCGGTGATCCAAATAGGCGTATCAGGGAAGCTATTCCAACAATCGGTACACACTCGGGCAACGGATTTCCAGATCGTACTTACAGTTTGGCATATTTGTCGACCTCGCCGGTCAGCACCGACATGTTTCCGAAGACATGCATGGTCAGAAAGTCCCACGAGCAGTTCGCTTCGGAACTCGCAGATGCTTTCCTGAGCATAGTGGTACAGTTTGCAAGAAACGGTGTCATCCATGGCATTGGGTCCGTCTGAGCTTTGATGACCGGCAGGCCGATCTTCACACCCATCTCCTGCAGCGGCAGAAAGTTCTTGATCCAGATGCGCGCCGCATCCGCAGGCTCAATGTTAGAGCCGCTCTCGTTCCATGACAACTCTGGCTGATTGAACCCCAGCACATGTGTGATATTGTGGCCTTGTTTGATTAAATCGGTAACGTTGGAGAGGAAGGACGTGTCGTTTACGGCGCCCCATAGCATCGGCACGAACTCGAAGGTGGATTGCGGGATCGAGGCATAGACGTCAGTGATGTTCGTCGCATAGTTGTAATACCAGCTCAGTGGCGATCCATCCTCCACCCAGATCTCGTTGACGGACGCGTCCGGACTGGGAACGTAGACGAGCCCACGCTTTGGATTTTGCGTCGCGGCTGCACCGGGACGAGCAGCCAGCAGCGCCGTAGCTACTACTGACAGCACGGAGCCCAGCATGCTGAATGTTTCGGATCGGCAGAGAACAATTGAATGTCTCTAGATGACCGCTGCTCACGGTTCGAGATCTGAGTATATTTCCGGCCGAAGGAGGCTGATCGTCGCGTTCAAGGCCTAATATCCATCGTCAAGTTTGGGAGAGGACCAAGAAGTCCTCTCGATACGAGCTCGCACAACGATAGGAAAGCAAGCAGGAGGAAATTGCATCCAGCTTTGCGTAGCTCGGGGACGCCCGATGTGGAAATTACTGCGCGGCTACGAAGCACGCCGTGGCAGCACTACTATTCTTGGAGTACCAGGGCTTGCCCCAGCGCGACTAGCACCTGGAAACTATGTGCCAGTAGTGTGCATTGAGGCTGTCTGGGCGAGGTAGGCTCTCCAATCGGTGACTTTAGTGTTTCGCTGGTGGGCCGCCGGCCTGGACCGAGACCTTAAATCAATACGGAAGTCATCCTTGGCGATTCAGCTCTTTTCAGATTTGCCATGTTTACAGGCAGGACGATTAGAAACCAGGTGTTAAAGAGACGAGATATTAAGACAAGTACTTGTTACTACGATTAGATAAGGAGGCGCTGTGATATTAGAGCGTATTGGCATGGTCTATGAAAATGGAATCGCTAAAATGGCCATAGAAATGTGACAAAACCCGAGAACCCGGCTTGAAATGCTTTCATTGTGCATGCAACCGCGTTGATCAGGCGGGGTAGGCTCAGATATCCAACTAATATGTGTTGGTCCCAACTTCAATTGGGTGTGGCATCTCGTTTGCGACCTACGAGCTTGTCTTCTTCTCCCATCTGCCGAGGCATTGTTAGTACGATTTCCACCACTTTAAAAGGCTGAAGCAGCTTACAAATCTAGGAAGAGCTTCCACAGTATGGAGAAAAGAAGGCCTTGGAGTCCGTTACAGAGAATCCGCGTTGGCAACCCACGGCCAAATAGCCCGGATATTCCATCCTCGACTACCACCAGTCTTGCTGCTTCGGCTATTGAAAATCAGCTATGATCATACTGTAATGCGCAATAGAACTCACAGTATGAGACTTTAGTCTCGTTGACTTGACGATATGTCTTCACAACTCGGAGAGAATTAGAGACTGTGTCCGACACGATCGACGCAACGAACCCAATGAAGGCAAGGCGTAGCAGCCAGATGATCAATGGGTGCTTGGGCGATTCGGCGATAGCCTCCGTTAGGAAGTTGTACTAACGACAGTGAGCATATTGCTCGAAGATCAGACCTTTGGAGGAGGGAAACGAGCTTACAGTTGCAAACCAAGGGTAGTGCCCTACAAAAGTTGCTGCGGCTGTAGCAAAGGCACCCCACCACAGGCTCCCAACTCCGTTTGTTTTGATGCGTTGTCGAAGCAGTGCGGTGCCGCGAGCCCCCTGGGCCTGCAGGGTTGTCTTTAGGGTGTCGATTGGCGTCAGGATCATTCGGAATGCCGCGGCACTTCACCAACAAGAAGTCAGTATGCGGCTATGTCAGGAATCCAAGTGAGATATACCAGAGTGATGCGAAGACCGTCTTTACAGGCGACGGCAGATTTTTTAGGTAAGAATTTGACTGCAGCAACGCCAGGATACCCGCGTTAGCCGCTGTGTCACCGAATCTAGAGACAGGCCCTGGTTTCTTTAGCCTGATGCCTTTGATTCAACGACACGTAATGAAGCCGTGTCCTGTACTGCACGTACCTTGAACTAATGCGGCTCCAATGCCTTGATAATACCGCCGCAAGCCCCCATCGTGGTACAGAGTTCGAGTGGCCGCAGTAAATGACGTCCCGAACCGATACTGGTAGTTCATGATAGTTCGGAGTGGCTGCTCAATGATCAGAAAAGGGCTACAGCGCACAATGCATTATTCCTCTTCCATACCATCAGCAGTAGAACTTGAAGGACCATAGCGGCAGCACCACTCAATCCTCCTCCAAGAGCACGCATGAGCGCGGCATTCAGATCAAACTACATGGAATCGTCAGATGGGTATGTGCGTTGATCTGGGTTTGATACGAACATCAACATCACCACCCGCATCTACCCAGCCTTTGATGAAGACTGTAAGGACTAGAGCAGCAAGGATCAGCCAGAACGCCCTCCAAATGTACCAGCTTGCTCGTCTGGGCTCTGGAACTTTCTGGTCCTGGTCGTGCCCCTGCTCCTGCTCCTCGACTGATTGCTCATCTCTGATTAGGGGCGTCTGCTCGTCGACATGTGTCTGGCTCTCTGCATCGGATTCATGAGCCATGCTGATAGTCGTGACGGCATCAAAGCGTTGTCCGGATTGAAGTTGAGGCGCGGCGTGCCAGCGCTGCCGAAGATAAGGCGTGCTGTCAAACCCCCGCGCCTAATTACTAATTGGATTCTCCGATGGCGTGCTACGGCGCCGTGTCAAGCCGACAGCAAAGCAACCGGCTGTCGGCCGATAGCACTGGGCCGGCATCTTATGGAGGTCTTGGACTACATGTGATTAGAAAGGAGTAACCGAGTAATAGCTTAGATTATCTTGCACTGAACTCATGGCGAACATCTGAAAATGCATATTAGTGTTGGTTAAAAGTAAACTCAAAAAAGAAACCCGAGTGGGTCACCGGCTGTATTGCCCCTTGCATGCGAGGATGCCATTCCGCCGACTGCTACGCTGTAAGCCTCCCCGGAAGGAAAGACTCAAGCCTCGAAGGCATCGAAGGAGCTGCCACAAAAAACTCCAGAATTACAGGTCTCCTTGCTTCAGAGATGCGATCATTTCACTTCATCTAACCACTTCCGACATAATGAAGGAGGGCGAAGCTCTCCAATACCCAGCCCAATTGTGGGCTGCCGGTCTGCTAACAGTCATTTTAGCGGTCGGTCTCAACGCCACTTTCGGCTCGGTCTACGGCTACGAATGGCTGGACGCGCCGCATAACTTACTACTTACATCTGACATTGATGCTATCTTGCCTCCCACGGCAAGATCCATTCTGAAACACTACACAGGATGGACCGCAATCGACAAGCTTCTGGCCCTGGCTTCGGTCATGTTTGTGAATGTACGCGTCAGACATCATGAAATGCACTTGACATCCTCGGTAGCGTAAAAAGACGAAGCAAATAAAAAATATTTATAACATAAGGCCGATGTTTAAATGACTAGAACATAAGGAGTAGCGTATACAAAACGTGGGAATGCCCGACAAGTCGGTCAAAAGCTCAGCCTAGATTGGCTCTCTGATTGAGACAAAAGTGAATGACAGCATGCCCATAGCAGATATGTGAGGATATGTGAGGATATCAAAGGCGTGGGTATCATTTAACACTGAAATCCGTTAATTTGCGCTTTAAGGAAGGTATTACACATTGTAGAACTTACGCCGTCATTAGTATAGCACCAGTATTGGAAACCGTTGACCTGACAAGCATCGCCATAGACACAGTAATAGCCCACATCTCCAGTTGGCGACTCCATAACGAGTGGACCATCGGGTTGATTGTCGCAAATATCAACGTCGTCGACACCCTTCTCAACCGTATAGGCGATATGAGGGATATTGGCCCAGACACAAACGGTCTCGCCAGACGCAGCATTGCATGTGTAGGAGTTGCCAGTAGTTACGGACTCTTGTACGCTGAAGCCACCGCTCAGCCAGCTAACAGTACCGCCTACATTGACAGACCATCCGATAGTGTAGCTCTTAAGATATGAAACGCTACAGCCATCGGAAGAAGAGCCCCCTTGACCACAGCTGAGCGGATCGCTCACTTGCTTGTGGAGATAGTCTGTGTGAGGGTCGCCGTCCCCTACAAGCTTATAGACGCAGTGCCCGTCACAGCAAACATATCTCTCAAATAGATCACCAGCTCGTGGCGCCTTTGTGATGGCCATGCCACCATTCCGTTCGGCTAGGTAAGAGCTCTGTGGCAAGCCAAATGCCGTGGAGGCGATGGCTGCGATTGTGAAGACGGCTTTCAAGTTGAAGCGCATTGTAAACGCCAAACCTTTTATCTGCAACAGGAGACACGAAATGATTAAGAAGACACAGATATGACCGCAAATTAAGCGTCGATGAACCTGTCTACATCAAGAATCTCATGAGCCATTGTTGGGGCCTTTATATAGGTTTTGACGATAATCAACCTCATTCGTATGTCCGGGCAAAATTAACATCTCTAACAAGAACTTTTTGCTGATCATCAATGTAGCAGGCCACTAAGAGAGCTAGGCAAAGCTTGAAGCTCATGAGGAAAGTGGCAGCAAAAGCAGTAACGATTGTCATACCCCTAAATTTCGCTAACTCTCGCATCTTGTAGAGGCCTCAATAAGATCCTTGCTAGCTACTTCTAAACTATGCCGGGAAGAAATTCCAACTCCAACAGCAAAGACGATCTACAAGAATATAGTGGATTCTTACATAACGTAGTTCTGCCTATTGAAAGATCAGTCACTATGTAGGCTATAGGCTTGAACCTTGAGAGAAGATCAACCTGCTGTTTCTCCCACGATCCCACGTAGAAGAAAGTTAACTTTCCATCCTCTCATCAAGCTAGACGGTCTCAACACAAGGTATGGCACTATCCTCAATAAAAGGTACTCGAAAATCGTGAACAGAAATCGTTCATCGAAATCACCTCAAATCGAGATGATGTGCCGCTTGACCCGTGTGGGGCATCAAGCTTGCGGCACAGCCGCACAGCCGCAGTATAGCGCCATCAGCTGCAAGTCACCTACCTCGATCCGTTATTCGGGGTAGTAACTCTCGTCATCTTTTTGCTCATGGCATTACGTCAAATTTGAGGTCTTCGTCGCTGTTGTCCCGTGGGGTTGTATGCATACTTTTGGCTGTCCCAAACTGGGACATTCCTATAGGGAAGATCTTCAATCGAGTCCTGTCAGCTGGCAAGGGGTATTTTCTGGTGCCTTCACGGATCATAAGCTTATCGGGCTTTGACGAAGCGAAGGATTGATCTGCCGAATCCTTCTTCAGTCACCACTCTAAAGTCTAAGTAGACACAGCAAAATG